ACAATCGCAACTGCAAGCAACCAACTGTTCACGACAGCCACCAAAAAAAAAAAGGGTGTATGTCACTTTAAATTTTCGATTCTTTGATAGCTGTGGCCCTAAGTAACGATTCTGTGTCCCTGAGTAACGATTCTGTGTCCCTGTAGTAACGATTCTGTGGCCCTGAGTAACGATTCTGTGGCCCTAAAGTCTCTGTGGCCTTAACTCTGTCCCTTAATACACACAGGTCTGTCTCTCTTGAATGACCGGAGGCTAATGGAGAATTCTAAGATGGCCGCGATTTATAGTGCTGGCTGGTTGCTGATTGGCTAATGCGATCACATGTCATGAATGCATTATGGGTCAGCGCGCCTTGTCTGTGCGCCTTCCCAGAGATCCCCGCCCCATCTTCTCTGTCCATTTTCTCCGTGGCCACACATGTCGCCGCCATTTTTGGGAAAATTCGATTCGTGCATCCGAAGTTTGCTAATCTTTGGATTCGTCGCGAATAGAATTTTTCCAAATCTTCGGAACGAATTCCACTTCGTCATGTTCGATTCGCTCATCTCTAGTAAAGATCTAAGGTGAAGATGAAGTTACAATGAGGGGGAATGGGGGAGAACAACTGTAAAGGGCAACTTCACTAAAATGAAGATGCCCTAAATCAGAGTTCTGGATGTAAATAGAATGTAAATTTTGTTTAGTAACTAGTTTAGGTTACTTGACAGTAACATACTCTAAATGCTTTCTTCATTTCTTAGCTGCTTAGTTTGTTGGATGTAATCTGGAGATCATGCCACTTTATGTTAATAGGATTGATGTCATTATTCTAAAATGCATTCTGTTTATTTCACAAATTGTTGATTTACTGCAGTTTTTGTATCATTTTTCATTTTTTTTTACCTAATTTATTTTGCCATTTTATAGAACGGATTGGTATCCTATTTTTGCATTATGCCTTGATACCATTTTGATTTCCCAAAAAGTGTAACTACTGTTTCATCTGTACACAAAAACATTTTCAGTTTTTGTTCCCTTAATGTGGGCAGCAGTATTTTGTAGCTGAACGGTCATTTTCCTCTGTGATAACATCCTTGAAAAAAAACTCTTGTTCACTGATTTTCTTAAGCATTACATGCAATCCTTTCTATTCCTCCACCTAAAATAACGCACCTTTCTCCACCCAAGATGTATACTTACCTGCAATACAGGTCTAAAGTGGTCGGGATCATCACCAATCTTGTTTGCACTAGTCGCATCCCTGTAATCAATCATCGTAGACTTTTATGGGGCAGTGTTTTGAGCATATAAAGTGAAACTATGAGTCAGTTGATGAGGTTGTTCTTATAAATAATAATAATAATGTTTCTTTAATTAAATCATATGTATAATTGTAGAATATATAATTAAAATATTTATTTTGTCATGTTTCCATTTCAGGAAGTTGTCTTGGGTCTAACTGATAGGTCACGTTTATTTATTAATAATTTGGTGGTAAGTTTGTTTTGCTTTTTATCTACAATCATTTAGCAGCTGGTCGGTTTCACATCTGGTTAATAAACATTTCTACCTAATCCTGACAGGTAGCTACCAATATTACATCCTTTGCAATATATGATGACTTCCTACTTCTAACTACCCACTCTCACACCTGTAGATGTGTATCCCTAAGAGAAACGTCGCCGAAAGGTAAGCTTTCAACTCTGATGAACATAGAGTTCCTCCTTTGTTAGTCACCAGTGTGTGTTTGACACCAAGTCTTGGAGTTATTCCTTTATGTGATGCCTTGCTGGAAAAAAAAGGCATTAAATACTGATAGTACAGTTGCAATGTTTTATTGGCAAGACTGCTCTTTAACCACTTTACAACGGCACTATAGCCAAAAGACCGCTACAGCGTACTTGTCCATTTCTGAGAGGGCATCATATGACATCCTCCCAGATTGCGCCCCCAGCGGCGCGCACTTGGCGCTGTCAGTCATCGCTGTGTCCTATGAACACAGCTGATCACATGACTAGTTAAAAGGCCAATCACAGCGGCCTTTTACCACGTGATCAGCTGTGTCCAATGACACAGCAGATCACAAAGTAAATACAGTTGCTGGTCATGCTATTTTTAAATTGTGATATCAGGTGTGGGGTGAAGAACCCCCGCCCGCTGTCACAATGAGGGTTCAGCAGATGGACAGTTCCATGAGTCAAGGGCCTTGGGATGGAAAATCAGTGTTTTACTGATACTCTTTTGAAAACGGCTGGTGTTACCTTCGCTATGCAGCAAGCATACATTGTTCAACTCTTAGTGAACACATTAGATCATCAGTGTAAAAGCAAACACTTTCACAAACTTAGCATCAAGACCTGGAACTTAGCCACTACAGCTAGACAGGGTTTAACCCTACCATTCCAAAATATCCTAAAATCTTCACACAAATAGAGATTTCTTTTGGTGGTATTTAATCGCCACTTGGGTTTTTATTTTTTGCAGTATAAATAATAAAAGAGCCAAAAATTAGAAAAATTCTTTGTTTCTATCATAAAATTTTGTAAACAGGTAATTTTTCTCCTTCACTGATGTGTGTTGATGAGGCTGCCACTGATAGCACTGATGGGCACTGATGAGGTGGCACGGATAGGCTGCACTGATGGGCACTGATAGGCTGCACTGATGAGGAGGCACTGGTGGGCATTGATTGAAGAGGCACTGATGATGCTGCACTGATATGCAGCAATGATGGACACTGATGGGCGGCACTGCTGGGCACCTATAACCAGTGCCCTGATTATCAGTGCAGATCTGCTCTGTGACATTTGCCGGTTATCGGCAGTACTTTCCTCATCAGTGCAGCCTATCTGTGCCACCTCATCGGTGCCCATCAGTGCTGCCTATCAGTGCAGCCTCATCAACGCACATTAGTAAAGGAGAAAAATTACCTGTTTGCAAAATTTTATAATTGAAACGAAGAAAAACTTTTTCAAATTTTTTGCTCTTTTACTATTTTTACTGCAAAAAATAAAAATCCAAGTGGTGATTAAATACCACCAAAAGAAAGCTCTATTTGTGTGAAGTTTTTAGGGTATTTTAGAATGATGGGGTTAAACCCTGTCTAGCTGTAGTGGCTAAGTTCCAGGTCTTGATGCTAAGTTTGTGAAAGTGTTTGTTTTTACACACTGATGATCTAATGTGTACACTGAGAGTTGAACAATGTATGCTTGCTGCATAGCTACAGTAACACCAGCCATTTTCAAAAGATTATTAGTAAAACACTGACTTTCCATCCCATGGCCCTTGATTCATGCAACTGTCCATCTCCTGAACCCTTATGAACCCTCATTGTGACAGCAGGCGGGGGTTCTTCACCCCACACCTGATGTCACAATTTAAAAATAGCATGGCTGTGCGTGGCTCTGCACACAGCCTCGTCATTCATTCACAGTACCCTTTTCCACCACGACAGATGGCTTGTAGTTTTCCACAAGCTGTGAAGGTGCTGGTGAGCGCTCTTGTAGTTAATTGATCTTCCTGCTCTTTAGTAATTGTCTGCAGGAAAAATAATAAATGCACATTTTTTTCTGCAGAAATATTTGCACTTCCTATTTTTTGCCAAAGGGAAATATAATAGCATCTACCTATTCATGAACTAGCATTGGGGAAAACTGATTCCAGCCTGTCCCTCTGGCTAGGTAGTATATGTTTATATTAAAGAGACGTGAAATTGAAAGTGTGTCTGTAGCAAGTGTAAATTTTACCTCTTCCTAATTTTTCTTTAACTCAATGGATGTTTTTTTTTTCCAATATGAGTTGTGGCAGGTATCACTTTACAAGACTTAATGAAAAAAGTTTCTGACAGGTCACAATTTACAGCAACAGCATAATTTTCCACAAAAAACTGTACCATTTCATTATTAAAAAGAGCTCTAGGCCACTGACTTTGCCAAACTGAGAGAATTATGGAGAATGGCCTCAGTCTCCTGTATGCAGGAGGAGGCATTTCCTCACTCCCTGTTCCCCCTGCTGATCACTCATTGGGACTTTTGTAACAAAATAATTTTCTGACTGCTTACAAGGTAAGAGGCCGCAGGAGCAAGGCACACCTTTATATGATGTGTATACCAACCACTTAAAGGCTACTGTACAGTTACCAGGGTTTACATAATTGTGTTATCTCTTGTCCACTATCGTAAGCAGTCCATAGATTAAATTTTTTTTATAGTTCAACACATTGATTGTGTGGGTGGGGGAATCCACCCTGCTTAGGTGTTGTATTCTGACAGCTAGGAGACATCCTTGCTGTCAGAATACACTAATCAGCACTGCTAGCTGTAGCCAGCAGTGCTGATCGGGCAGGGAAAATCTGACCTGCTAGTTGTGCAGAAGTCAATCTAATGATTTAACTGCTGTACAACCACCCTGCCCAAATGTTAGATCAAAATTCGGCCGATCTCTGCTGATCCAACCAAATTTCGATCCATGTATGGCCAGCTTTAGTTCAGTGTCTATTTACTGATCTTGGATTAAGCCTAAACAAAGATGGCACCATCTGGCTAGAAAGGAAAATTATGGTATCACTAAGGAGAGCCACTGTGTGCATGCAAACATATTTCTTAGTATGTGAAATAATGTACCTGACACTAGGTCCATTTGAAACAAGCACAGTAAAAATACAGCTTTTATCTTGTCAATTTTCATCAAATTATGTTTACTTTTGGTCTATCTAGCTGCTAAATGGTTTTCTTCTGAGATAGTGATGGTATAACAGTGGTGACCAATTTTGTAAATCTAGAAGGCCTCAAGTTAATGTCCGACATTTAAGATTCTGCCAGTGCTTCATGCAGATGGCACAGCAAAAGGCACCACTGCATGCAGAGTGCTGGTGGACCACATGTTAGACACCAGGTCTGTATAGTCATGGCAAACTTAATATGAGAGGAAAGGGTTTTACTTTTTTGATTAAACTCTAACATAAACCTATACTGTGCACATGCATTAAATAAATATATGTCTATTTTTTCAAGATGCTCTACAAGAATAAAACATGCCTTATTATCTATTACATTGTACAGCACTGGAAGCAGTCCTGGGCAACACATCTAGCTCAAATGATGAAACCATTAGAAAAGTAGAAAGAGGATCTCGAATTGTTACTGTAGTTCCACAGGATACCAAAGTCATTCTACAGGTTGTTCTCAAATATTTTTATTATAGGCTGAAAAATATATATAATTTGATGTAGTAGTAATTTTATTTGCACTTCTTGTATAGTTTAAAATATTTAGTCAAAAAATGTTGAAGTATTCAATCTCAGTACATTTGTGTATGTAATGTAAAATTATTAAATTTTTTCCTTAAAGTGTATCTTTAGCCAAAAAGATGTAAGGGAAAATCTTGCGTTCCTTAGAGGTGTTCCCATTAATAATCAGGCATTATATGTTTGTGTACCAGTGAGAATTGGGTATGCTGCAAGAACTGTGTATTGTGCCATCAGTGACCTTATAAAAATGCTTGTTGCTAGTGCACAGATTTGGAACAAGTGTGCAGATAAGTAGTTCTGACTTCACTCTGTTTCATGCCAGTGACTCAGAAAGTATCAAACCCATAGACAAGCAGGCAGTTTGCATTTTCAAAAATAGGTCTGAAAAGGCAGCCTCCATTTTTTTTTTTCTTTATACGGGTTGTATAAACTTTTGGATAGAGTAAGGAAGAGTTATAACCCATGTCAGTTTTTTTGCTTTTATAGCCGTCTTTGTCTCATGTGGGGACATTTTCATTTACTTCCTGCCTCATAGCCACAACAGGAAGTGAGAGGAAATCCTTCCAAAATTAGGGAATCCTTGGTTGTCCCAAACATCACCAGGACTAGTCTCCCATGGAAGATTTCCTCTTGATACCTGTTCTAAGGTGTCCGTTTATGAACCAGTGGTAATAGATCGCTGCTCAGTTCTCCGGCATTCTCGGATAACTCAGTTCTCCTGTGAATGCAGTTTATGAAGCAGTTCTCCGAACGAAGGGAGAACGGTCTCCAAACGCTAGAGAACGGTCTACAAACTCTGGAAAACGGCTGATTTTACTATAATCTCACGAGATTACAGTAAAAGATCAGTTTACTAAGCAGAGGTAAATTATCTCTGCTTAGTTTGCGGTCCCTCCAGTTCTCCAGCTCTTGGCTGGAGAATCTGGAGGGAGAACACAGATCTCCAGTGAAGGGCTGACATGATCTCCTGAGTGTTATAAACTGAGAATGACCTGAGAATAGCTGAGATCCGTTGAATCGCAGCTATTCTCTGTGTCATAAACGGACACCTAAGTACAGGGGTGTCCAAACTTTTTTGGAAGAGTGCCAGATTTGATGAAGTGAACATGTGCGAGGGCCGACCATTTTGCCCGACATTCTGATGAACCATTAAAATTAAATGCAAATAAACTATTTTATGCAAAAGTTTATTGAAAACGGCATACTTTTCATTTTGTGACTTGGATGACAAATCTAAACAGGTGTTAAATCACTCTGCCAGCACAGGGAGAAGGAAAGCCCAAATCTCGCGAGATCTCGGAGGTCGCGAGATTTGGGCTTTGTTTCTCCTTGCACTGTCTGATGACGTCAAGCGATCCTGAGCACCAATCCATTATAGCCCAAATTGATACCGTAAATGGTAGCCCCCCAGTAGTAATTCCCTGCGCAGCACCTGGGATCCCTCGGCCCACGTTCCAGACCCCACAGATGAGCTGCCCAATATATAACTTACGGCCCTCCACTAGTGATTCTGCGAACGCCACTGAGGACTCCAGGGATCTGTCGAGCGGAAATTGATGTCATCAGCCGGCACACAGAGAAGGAAAGCCCAAATCTCACGAGATCTCGGACGTTGCGAGATTTGGGCTCTCCTTCCTGCGCCAGCTGATGATGTCAAGAGATCGCTGGAGTCCTCAGTAGCTTTCAGGGAATCACTACCGGGGGCCGTAAGTTATATATTTGGGTAGCTCACCTGTGGGGCCGTTTCAGTCCGGAACGCAGGCCGCAATTGGCCCGCGGGCCGGACTTTGGACATGCCTGCCTAAGTACAAACCAAATGTAGGGAATTTCTTTCACTTTCAGTAACGATAAACTTGACAAATAGGGTGAATCTCTCTAACAGGGGCATACACAGCAATGAAAACCTGATAGTTGTTCAACATCAGATTACCTTATATAAGTTTGAAGACGTCTTTTTGTTTATTTTATATGAAATGTATTGATGTGCAGATTTGAAATACCTTTTTTGTGTTTGTAATCTTTTTTTTCTTTTTTTTTTTTTCTTAAACGTCAGTTTACATAGAAAAAAAAATTAACCTAGTGTGTATGCACTGTCTCCCAAGCAGCAATAGCTGTAAATAGCAATCCTGGCACATCCAGCACATTAGGCCTTGTGTGTCTTGCCACATTTTGGCAAGTCTGGAGATGTAATTAAAGGCTAAGTTTTTTTAAAAAATGGTAATAATAAATGCCCATGTTTTTGCGTGGGGGGGAAAAAATTGCATTTAATTTTTTTTTGCTTCTTTTGACAGGAGCTTTTAGAGCATTGCATCCATGATCTCACTTTGGGTGTAACATGTTGCTAAAGGGGGAGTTAGCCTTTCAGTGCATATATTAGTATCAGGGCTGTTAAGTGCTGCAAGTGCATTGTGAACTTGATCAAACAAATCCAGCTACTTCCTGAAGTGGATACGGATTAAACTGCTGATAACTTTTCTACAGCTTTTCACCCTGTAGAATGTATTAATTTGGATATGTATGTGTGTGTTTTTTGAGTCGCACTTTTGATTATGTCCCACTGTCATTATTTTCTATAACAGATGCCACGTGGAAACTTAGAAACTATTCACCACAGAGCTCTTGTCCTTGCACAAATACGGAAGTGGTTGGATAGGTGAGTTGTAAATTACTAAAGAAGTCACGACAGTTAGAAAACTATGTATATAAAATAGCACTGCAATGTAATTTAAGAAAAATACAACCGAGAAAATACTATTTAATTTGTACTGCACCTGTATAATACCTGTTTGCAGAGGTGAATTTTTAGGTTCTACTTGTGGATGCTTCTGATCATCATGTTTTAGATGCCTACATCTGAGCAGGAAATTAAAAATACTAAGGTGGCTACTTAGTATTTTTAATTTTCTGCTCAGAAAATGGGAAATTTTTCTTGGTTCCATCCACTTTTCTAGATTGATGGCTAAGACCAGTTGCAAATATTCACAAGCTGAATTAGCAATAATAATGCAATAACTAAAGTAGGTCACATCTATAATGATGCAGGTTCCATTCACAACAGAACTATATTAAAGGGGTGTTGTGGTGGTTTATGTAAGGATTTATTCTACTTATAAAGGGCGATGTCCCTTTCCCTTAGATGAAATATTACAGTGCCTCCAGCCGTTAAAATACGGCAAATATTTAGTAAACCAATAATTTGGACACCTTGATAATTTGATCACCACTGATTATTAGACCTTGAATTCTTTTAGCCAGTATGATTTCGTACCATACACACAAATTTTGCCTTATAATTGATAAATATAAAAATTTATTTATGTACAAAAATTATATATATATTAACACAAAACGCAAAAGACTGGTGATGAATGAATACTGATACACACGGTCAAAGATATACTATACCAATATCATACACAATATAATGTTTCTAAATAATGGGAAACAATATAACAATCTTCTAAATGATGATGATGATGATTATTAAAAATTTAATTTAGTAATAACTAATAATTTAGAGTATCTCAGAGGTTATATTCTCACAAAACGTGGCCATAGGACTGGAAGATATTCTCTGATAAATTATACTCTAATTATTAATATTTAATAATTTATCAAATATGAAAAATTTGTAATATGACACCAACAATATCTAACGGTAATACGGGATCTCTCTATATATATAAACACCCAATACAGTTGTGATACACTAAGGTAATTCTGTTACTCTACACAACAGAGAAAATATGCAATGCAAAATTAAATGGACAGTCTCACCACACCCAGATCTAGGAATATGACACCTCCCAGTGGATCCAATTGGCAATGGAACGCCTTCAGAATGATGACCACAGGGGACAGTGAGATAGAGTTCAATAGTGTGGGAGAATGTAGGAAGATAGAAGTACAGAGATTTAGAAATTTAGTAAAGTTTTGGAAGTTTGAAAAGATGGAAGAGTTGATAGACAGCAGAGATGGATTTCAGTCTTCAGATTTCTTCAGTCAGTTGTTCCTTTTTTTCCATGAGGTTCTTTTCAATGAGTTTTTCTTAGTGAGGGTTTTTTTAGTGAGGTTTTTTTTCTAAATCAGGTGCATGGGTTTTTATACCAACTAAACTATTGTTCTAAGAGACCCTCCACCAGGCTTTTTGATTGGCTGGTTGAGAAATGTATGTACAGTTGCAAGAAAAAGTATGTGAACCCCTTGGGATTACGTGGAGTTTTGCATGAATTGGGCATAAAATGTGCTCTGAACGTCATCTAAGTCGCAACAATAGAAGAACACAGTCTGCTGAACATAATACTACACAAACATTAGATGTTGCCATGGTTTAATTGCACATAACATGTAAACATTCACAGTGCAGGGAGGAAAAAGTATGTGAACCTTTGGACTTAATAACTGGTTGACCTTCCTTTGGCAGCAATAACCTCAACCAAACGTTTCCTGTAGTTGCAGATCAGACCTGCACAACGATCTGGAGTAATTTTGGACCACTCCTCTTCACAAAACTGTTTCAGTGTAGCAATATTCCTGGGATGTCTGGTGTGAATCGCTCTCTTAAGGTCATGCCACAGCATTTCAATCGGCTTGAGGTCAGGACTCTGACTGGGCCACTGCAGAAGGCATTTTCTGTGCTGTTGCAGCCATTGTTTTGTTGAATTACTTGTATGCTTTGGGTCATTGTCCTGTTGCATCACCCATCCTCTGCGGAGCTTCAGTTGGCGGACAGATGATCGTACGTTTTCCTGCAAAATGTCTTGATAAACTCTGGAATTCATTTTCCCATCAATGACAACAATCCGTCCAGGCCCTGAGGCAGCAAAGCAGCCCCAAACCAGATGCTCCCTCCGCCATGTTTTACAGTGGGGATGAGGTTTTGATGTTGGTGTGCTGTGCCTTTTTTTCTCCACACATAGTGTTGTGTGTTCTTCCCAAAGAACTCAATCTTGGTTTCATCTGTCCACAGTATATTTTGCCAGTAGTGCTGTGGAACATCCAGGTGCTCTTTTGCAAACTTCAAACGTGCTGCAATATTCTTTTTGGACAGCAATGGCTTCCTCCGTGGTGTCCTCCCATGTACTCTATTCTTGTTTAATGTTTTCCTTATTGTAGATGTGTCAACAAAAATCTTAGCATGTGCCCGAGATTTCTGTAGGTCTTTAGCTGACACTCTGGGATTCTTCTTTACCTCATGCAGCATTCTGCGCTGTGCTCTTGCAGTCATTTTTACAGGACGACCACGCCTAGGGAGAGTAGCAACAGTGCTAAACTTTCTCCAATTGCAGACAGTCTGTCTTACCGTGGACACATGAACATCAAGGCTTTTGGAGATACTTTTGTAACCCTTTCCAGCTTCATGCAAATCAACAATTCTTGATCGTAGGTCTTCTGAGAGCTCTTTTCTGTGAGGCATGGTTCACATCAGGCAGTGCTTCTTGAAACCAGTAAACCCAAAATAGGTATGTGTTTTTTAAGGGCAGGACCGCTGTCAGCAACACATCCAATATCATCACACTGATTGGAGTCAAGGTTGGCTCATTCCTGGCTCCAATTAGCTCTGGGAGAAGTCATTAAGCTAGGGCCTCACATACTTTTTTCCTCCCTGCACTGTGAATGTTTACATGTTATGTGCAATTAAACCATGGCAACATCTAATGTTTGTGTAGTATTATGTTCAGCAGACTGTGTTATTCTATTGTTGTGACTTAGATGACGTTCAGAGCACATTTTATGCCCAATTCATGCAAAACTCCACGTAATCCCAAGGGGTTCACATACTTTTTCTTGCAACTGTATTTAATCTATCTCTCACCTGTCCACTAAGTGGCGGTCAGAGCTCATAGAACAATTTGAGTATTTATGATGACTCACACCTCGGGTGGAACTCAAGGTGATTTCAGGTATTAACTATATGTCTTATCCTAGATATATATAGTTAATCATACCTATAATGTTCTAAATAGGAACCATGGAATATCTGTGTATGTTCAGTTATTTATCTCTCTGAGATACAACTTGTGTGAAAGCATTTGTTTCCTGATAAGACATACAACTAATGCTAATTCACAATATATCTTATTTTTTCTCATCTCAATACTCAAGTTAGTGATATACAATCCCCATTCAGCTGAATATTTTGTGGTGTGTGAAACAGATTCTTTATAACATCCATTTGATAGTATGCTTTTTAGTAATATCTCTGTGGGTAGATATATTCAATTCTTAGCCTTAAATGTCCTGAATTTAACCTTTGTTTCAGAATCAAACATTCCCATAGGTAGGAAAGACCCTCTGTTTACCTGGCTATTGTGTTGGAGTCAGAGTAAACAGACATTTATACTTTCAACCTTAGTGGATAATAGCATATTGTGATAGTTTGAGAGGTTTGTTGGTGCATTACACTTTGCAAGGTTCTAGGCAAACTTTCAACCAGTTGAGTTTACGTCTCATTATTGTTCATGTGTTATGACTTAATGTTTGAAGGTTGAAGTCCTATTTGGCTGTCTATTTACTTTTTGTAGACGTCTTCCACTCAACCCCGATATATAAACAGTATTTGTTGACAGTCCAAACAGTCTTATTGTCTTGGAAAAAGCTCACTTCACTCATTATGTACATTTCTTAACTGGATGGTCATTGGACTTTCCAACCAAGACAAGTTAACCCTTAACAGACGGCTAGGCTGGGTTATTGTCAAATAAAGTCATGTTTTTGATACATAATTTCAAAAGGTCCACAACATTGTATTGTTTGCAAAGACTTCTGAGCTAGAGAGGCTATATGTATTTTGCTCCTGCTGGCGTTTTTGAGGCGGTTACCATTCATTTAAATGGGAAGAGGCATTTTTGAGGCGTTTTTTTTTTTTTTTTTATTATTTTTTTTTTAACTCCCCAAACATGATAGATAGAGCAAGAATCACTAAATGGACTGTGGTTTGGATCCAGACCGAGTGACAGTCCCATCCAGACTGCTGCCATTGCGCCACTTAGGAGCCTGGTCTCTCTCCCTTTCTGGCCTGGCCACTCTGTAGATCCCTTTGCTGTTTCTTTCCTCCAGCTGCCATGCTGTCATCCTCACATCAGGTCAGAGGACTGGAGAGGCAGCAGGCCTGGATGAAGGGCAGGAGCTGCAAGTGGGTGATTGGTTGCTAGGATGCTTCGGTGGTCCTAGCAACCAGTCACCAGCTTGTTAACCGTAAAGTTGGGCAGCTCCTGCCCTCCATCCAGACCTGCCCTGTGGAAGGTAGGACTGTGAGCGAGAATGAAAACACTGCTGTGAAAGGGAAAGAGGGGAGTTGAGAACACTACTATGAAGGGGGACTGAGGACATTTTTTTACCACCCTCCAACGTTACATGTTAATAAGCCCCAAGGTTGTCACTGGCAAATGCAACTCAAAGCACCCCCCAAATGTTGAGGGCATGTGGCCTGGTATGGTTCAGGAGGGGTGCACTCGTTCACGCCCCCCCCCCCCCCCCCTTTCCTGACCTGCTGGGCTGGATGCTCGGATAAGGGTGTGGTATGGATTTTGGGGGGGACCCCGCACCATTTTGTAAAATTATTTTTCAATAGCCGGCAATTCTTTCTTTTACATTCAGCTGTCAGTGGGGAACCCCGCTGACCGCTGAAACAGCCAGACCTTCCCACATGTGCAGTGCATTTTTGAAGTGGTTTTAAGCATTTTTGGAGCATTTTTGAGGCGGTTACTATTCATTTCAATGGGAAGAGGCATTTTTGAGGTGGTGTTTTTTTTTTTTTTTCTTAACTCCCCAAACATGTATCAAAGATGCTGCAAGCAGGAGTTTTTATACCACACCGCAAGCGCGAAACCTCATGTGAAAACGTACATAGATATACATTCACATGGAAGACTTCAAAAACTCCTTAGTGTGAAAGCAGCCTATGGCATTTAGGAAGAATTCTAAACTTTGGCATGTTTAGGTCTAAGAATAACTAACAATCAGTTAAAACTACTGGAATATTTCAAACAGGGATCGATCTATTAACTATTTCAATGGACGTCATGCAATGTCTCATGTCTACACCTAATGTTTTAGGAAAAGTGGGCAATATCCCCAGATCTGTGACCATTTGAGATTTTTAATTCATGTACGGATATCTTATAGATGTCTTGATAATTATATATATATATTTTTTTTTTTTTTAGTTTGCACTTCAAAGATTCTTTTGAATGTATGAGAAAACTGAGAATCAACCTAAACTTAATATATGACCACAATCCGAAGGTATTATTTACTTCTACACTTGATCTGTATGTCCTTGTTTGGCTTGAGGTATGTTACTTAACGTCCTAATGTATTGCAGGTTTTTCTGGACAACGTGGATATATTTGTTAACCAGATTGACTCTGTAAATTATATCAACTTGTTTCTTACTGAATTAAAGTGAGTATATTTTGCTTGTATCATATTGTCTTTTTGTGTAGTATCACCTCGGTAAGGAAGATGAAGCTCCCAATTGTTTCCTTGCTACTTCGCTTTATTTTTATAATTCTTTTTTAAATATACAATTTTAAAAAGTAGAAATTAATACTATATTTTTCTATGTTGTTTTACTATATTTAATAGTAAGAGGGCTAGGGCAGTTCCCTTTATAATTTGTTTGTACCATACTTTACATTCAACTTTTGCTTCACTTATTTTGATATTCTGAACAGTGGGTAGTGGTCATCTGCAAAGTTAATAACAAGTATAATGTTGCCCTCCAAAGGATTTTACCCCCCTTTCTAAACAGGCCTTTTTTTGCGTTCCGGCGCTGTGTTACTTTAACTGACAATTGTGTGGTCATGCAACGCTGCACACAAATTAAATTTACATCCTTTTTTTCCTACGAATTGAGCTTCCTTTCAGTGGTATTTGATCACCTGTGCGTTTCTTATTTGCTCTATAAAAAAAAAGGCCAACAATTTGAGAAAAAAAAAACAATATTTATAACTTTTTGCTATTAAACACGTCCAATAAAAATATTTTAAAAATCAAATTTCATCATAAATTTAGGTCAAAATGTATTCTGCTACATGTCTGCTACAAAAAAAATCTCAGTACATGTAAATTAATTGGTTTATGTGAAAGTTATAGCGCTTACAAATGGCGGTATATATACTGGGATTTTTTTTTTTCTTTTTACTAGTAATGGCGGCGATCAGCAACTTATAGCAGGACTGCAGTGGACATTATGACACTGGGGGGAACTGACTTTGTGTCACTGACATCCCCAGTGACACCAATACAGTGATCAGTGCTAAAAAAAAACTGACACTGTACTAATGGCACTGGGCAGGAAGGAGTTAACATGAGCGCCGATCAAAGGGTTAACTGTGTGCTGTTTTGCTATAAACTGTGTCCTTGTGCTTCATTCTAAGCTTTGCATGGCTGTGCTGCGCAGGGCCATCCAAAGCAGTCTGCAAGAGCTGACAGGTAAACAAAACAGTTCTCCTCCCCGTCAGAGATGCTTGGCAATCACCGGGCGCCGGTAAGTAATCACCGGTCAGGACCTGGTGATTGGCGGTGTGGGTAGGGCACGCGCGCTCCCTACTCGGAAATGTAAAATCACGGCCGTGTATGTGTTTGTGTGTGTGTGTGTGTGTGTGTGTGTGTGTGTCTATATATATATATATATATATATATATATATATATATATATATATATATATATATAATAATTTTATGCACCCGTGCCGCAGTATTTCTGCTATAGGGCGGTTGGAAAGCGGTTAAAGGGTATCTAATGCCAAACACAAGAAATTATGGTATGGCAGCTTACTGGTACTTAGATGTGGTGGCTGCATTGTTTTTTTTTTCACACTTTTTCTCTCTATTTTAACTCAGCCATTACCTCACTTCCTGTCCTACAGTAACAACCCTACTGAGCAGCATTGTCACCGTAGGAAAGGGAGTTTGTGAGGATTATATAACCCCTCCCTTCCTTCTCCATAACAGGGGGAGGTGTTTTGTAGTCCATGGAGATAGCAGGGAACAAACTGCTAACCGGATGAACAGCTATTTTCCACTTATGGAACAGATATACTGAAACACTTCCCATGGTATATTTAACAGAATAAAGAGGAGCAAATAAGAGAAATGTATTGTTAGAGTTTACATACTCTCTGACCAGATGATTACAGTGTAAGAGGCACTCAAGCTTTTGGTTATGCCAGGCATGCATGAGCAGGACTGTTTAGTGATATTTAGAAAAGCTAAACACATGAGCAACAGTTTGAATGAGGGCTTAGTGTTTTTGTGTGTACACACTCATACACAAATACCCCCATCCTTAATTACAGCATAGATTGCAAGTACCACATAGACTGTGAAAATGCAGTTACTGGCCAAATCTTTCCAAATTTGTGGATTAAAGTACTACTACTAAGGACATTTTTTTTGTTTTCATTTTGGATAGCGTAAGGGAAGGTTATAACCCCTGTCAGTTTTTGTTTTTTTAGGGTTCCACTGATATCCCTTCACATACCGCTTCATAACCACAAAAGGAAGTGAGAGAAAATCCCTCCAAAGTGTGGAAATCCCTTGTTGTCACCAGAACTAGTGTCCTCATTGAAGGATTTCCCCTTTTTTTCTGTTCTGGTGACAGCCCAAAATTTGGAATTTTCTTTAACTTTCTCTCTTGGTAATAATGGTAAACTGGACAAATAGAGAGGGTGAATGTCCCTAACAGGGCACAGAAGACAACAGGTGTTCTAAACCCTCTTTCCAAAGCTTAGAAAAAATTGCCTTTAGTTATATGTAAAGTTTTTCTCACCAAAGTTCTGTTGTAAAGGTCTCTTGCACATTATCCAAGGGCATTTTGAACAGTAGGCAAAGATGGTGCATTTTAAAAATTAGGAAAATAAAACAAATGCTTTATTTTTTGAGTCATTGTTTTCATTGTTCAAATTCTTGTTAATGATATAACTTTGTTCTCAGAGAAGAAGATGTGACAAAGACTATGTATCCCAGTCATACACCTTCATCCTCTCCAACTTCTCAGACATCAAGAGCTAAAAAAGTTGATATCGTATGTGATGCCCTCAGAGAGGCCATGGAGAAACTCAGTCCTCAGAAGTATGTTGTTAAGGTTTTTTTTTTTCCCTATCAAAGTTTAATCTCATATTTGCGGCTGATAGAGAAGTGTGGAATGATCTATGCAAAGACGTCTTGCAGTAAATGATTTTAGGTTGTTTAGCATTAATTTAAGTAAAGCTGGATATAGACTAGAAACCATTCATTTTAAAACTTCCATATCAGGAAGATTTGTTCAACTTTCGGAATATTAGTGGGGTCAACGTATTAGTGTAGTGACAAGAAAATTCGAAAGAGCAGGATGATATTTTTTCTTGAGCAAATTATTCTGATTTTGAATGTGGTTTTCATTCAGGAAATTACATTAATTCCAAAATTCAGTGTTAAAAGTAAAATAAATTTTAAAGTCCCTTGCAATGACATTTAAGTCATCAAATATATTGTAGAATTTTTGTACGAAAATCTGTAGGTGTATGGCCAGCTTTAGGCTACTTGTTACTGCTGGAACCTCCCAGGTACACTCCATACCTGAGCTCCAAGCGGATGTCTCTGCTCTTCTGTTCTACTGGTGCCTCATTAACCTGTAGATGAGCACTGCACTGCTTTACACTTAAAAGCCCACCCAGATTGTCTGATTGAGTGGTATTGATGGCTGTTCATTCTACAGATTTTTATGCTCCTGTGGTACAGCTCTGTGATATCCTTATTATCAATTCAAAGAACAGCATGATTCGAAAATAATAATAATTGGAAAATAGAGCGCAAAAACTATGTATATCTGCATTGTTTTTCATGCTTTCTGAAAATTTCTGAATTTTTGTTGCTGGACTTAAACATATTGTATCTGACAATATAATAATCCTCCCTTTATTCCCCAAGATACTTCCTATCAATCCTCACGTCTTATGTCCGTAAAACTGTCCCAGAATTGGAAATCGCTCTTCAAAAAGTTCATGAACTCAGAGGTAAAAAACTAAAGACTTTGTCATAATGCTTGAACCAAGGGCACAGAATGGTTTTTGGGTGTGTAAAAAGTGAACCTAATGCAAAGATGCAATCACCAGCACTCCAAATAGATGCATATCATTTATTTTGAAGGGTATAAGAGGGTAGGGTTTAAAAAAACCAACACATTGGGTATAAGTAATCAACTTTTGGGGCCTCACAGGGTCCCTTTGTTAAGCCAACATAATGACTACGCAAGTCCATGAAACTTTGTTTTTTTATGAAGAGAAATCCTCAATGGTTACACAGTTCACAATAAAAACCTAACAGAATGTTTTAACCATTCCCCTATATCTAAATGTAGAAAAGAGTTTGGACTGGAGAATAAGCAACACAGAAAGTGTATTGTTTTTAGGGCCGTGTTCACACTGGCATGTACAATGTGCCGTGCGATCCCTCACGTTCCTTTTATGGAGAACATTTGTTTGGGGAGGAGCTAGACAAGTATATCCAGAAGATCTCAGGGGGAAAAAGTATGCTTTTACCCTTTAAGAAAAAGTCCAAACGCCCAACCTTTAAGTGGCCAGGCACTTCAGTGGTTAGTGCTTCTTTCGATTGACAAGCATTTCGCCGTACACAGGGCTCTGCGTCTAGAGGAAAATTTCAGACCAGGGACAGAAGAAACCCTGGGTGCAGAGGCCAGCCAGGTCACATTCTAATTCCGCATCATTACGAAGGGGCGGCTTCACTTTTGCGGGTGGGGGGAAGACTTTTGGTTTTTGGGTAAATCTGAGAAGAGCTGATCCAGGACAAGTGGGTAACTGCTGCAGTTGCTCAGGAGTACAAACTGGAGTTTCGGGGTATTCCTTTTCCCAGCTTCCTAAGGTCCAGTGTATCCATGAATCCATTGAGAAGGAATCCTTTGTTTCAGACATTCGACCAGTTGTTGTCCCAGAGCGTGATTGCGGAGGTTCCAGTGGACGAATGGTTCCAGGGATTTTATTCAACCTATTCACAGTTCCAAAGCGAAATGGGGTGTAAGGCCTATTATAGACTTAAAGGGGCTGAACCGGTTCCTAAAGATTTGTTCATTTCAGATGGCGACAGTCTGGTCAGTAGTTGCATCTTTACAAGAGGGAGACTTTCTAGCGTCCATAGACAACAAGGACGCATACCTGTATGTGCAAATATTTCCAGCTCATCAAACATTTCTGTGCTTGTGATAGAAACAATATTTTCAGTTCGTGGCATTGCCTTTTGGGCTAGCCACTGCTCTTCAAGTGTTTACAAAGATTCTGGCTCCAGTTGTGCTCAGAACTCTGGGAGTATCAGTTTTGGGCTATCTGGACGATCTACTGCTCCAGGGTTGGTCGGGTCCAAGCCTGAGAGAAAATTTGACCCTTGCGATTCATACTCTGGAACACTTGGGCTGGGTGCTCAATTTTGAGATGTCTGCCCTGGAGCCAGTACAAAGTCTGGAGTATTTGGAGTTGGTCCTAGACACTGTTCAGCTAAGGTGTTTCTGCTTCCAGGAAAGGGCTGTGCCCTGAGAGATCAGGTTTGAAGTTTGAGGAGCAGGAAGTATCTTTCCATTTGTCTCTGCATGAGGTTAATGGGGAAGATGGTATCCTCATTTGAGGCAGTACCCAATGTGCAGTTCCACTCAAGGCCTTTGCAGAGAAATATTCTGTCGGCATTGAACAAAACAATTCCAGGGCTGAATTACCGCATGTCTTTGTCCCCCCGGGTGCTGCAAAGCTTGAATTGGTGGTTGGAAGTGCAAAATTTGGAAAAGGGAAGATCTTTCCCACCAGTGATTTGGAAGGTGGTAACAACTGATGCCTGCCTCTCGGGTTGGGGGGCTCTTCTAGAAGGCACCACAGTCCAGGGGACGTGGTTGCCGCAGGAAAAGATCCTTCCCATTAATATCCTGGAGCTTCAGGCGGTGCGGCTTGTCCTGAGATATTGGAAGACCAGACTTTCTGGACAGACTGAACTTGGTCCAGTCCGACAATGCTACGACAGTGGCACACATCAACCACCAATGCGATACCAAGAGCCGGAGGGATCAGGAGGAGGTAGATGTCATTCTGGGTTGGGCAGAAGGGCATGTCCCAGTTCTGTCTGCAGTATTCATTCCAGGGATCGAGAATTGGCAGGCAGACTACCTCAGTCGTTGGCAGTTGTTTTCGGGGGAATGGGCTCTGCATACGGAGATATTCTCGGCAATCTGCCAGCGTTCGAGTCGCCAGGACGTAGATCTATTGGCATCCAGGTTCAAAAGCAAGGTGGACAGGTTTGTGTTCAGGACGCGGGACCCTCTTGCGATAGGGGTAGATACCTTGGTGCTACCGTGGGATCAGTTTCTCTAATATATGCTTTCCCCCCTTTTCAGCTACTCCTGCGGCTATTATGCGGGATTCAAGACGAGGTGATTCCAGTGATATTAGTAGCACCAGCCTGGCCCAGGAGTTGTTGGTAAGCGGACATTGTCAGGCTAGCATTAGGCAATCCATGGCCTCTGCCAGATCGGTCAGACCTGCTGTCTCAGGGACCTATATTGCACCCAGCTTTACGGTTGCTGAATTTGACGGCATGGCTGTTGAGACTCAAATGTTGAAAGACAGGAGTGTCAGACTCAGTTATCCACACAATGTTGAACGCTAATAAGCTGGTTTCTAGGAACATTTATTATAGAGCTTGGAAGGCATACATTTCTTGATGTGCGGATCGAAATTGGCACCCCTGGAAGTATTTATTAGGAGAATTTTGTCTTTTCTACAATCAGGAGTAGAAAAGAAATTGGCTGTTGGTACTATTAAGGGTCAGGTTTCAGCCTTGGCTGTTTAATACCAAAGACCGTTTGCGTCTCACTCTTTGGTTTCGTACTTTTTTACAAGTTGGGATGCGTACTGTTCCTCCTGTCAGACCCTATCTGGACTATTCTGTTCAACAGCAATAATCTGAATTTATTTGGGTTTCTCAACAGCTACAGTTGATCTTTGCTGTGTTCATTACATTTAACCTGATGGAATATAGTAACCTGCTAAGGATGAATGAAGCACAATAATCAGAATATAGTAACCTGCTAAAGATGAATGAAACACAGTAATCAGCTTTTTTTTTTCTTTGTACTTAATGACACTAAACAATATCCTTATTCAGCAAGAATAATCCATACACTATTTTTCATGAAATAGCTTCTTTTTTAATATTTTGTTTGATTTTGTTTCTTTAATCTACATAAATCATTTGTGTGGTATGAAATGCTTGGGTATAGCAGTATCTGTAAATGAACCACATTTACTCCAAGGATGGTTCAATTGATTGTAAGTAATTATTTAGTTTTGTAATGATTGTTGTTTAATAGTTTACTGTAATAGTCTTTGATGCCCCGCATTTTGTTTTATAGAGAATCCATCTTCTCATGAAGATGTCAGTGCAGAGGAAGCACTAAAATACCTGCTTTTTCTTGTGGATGTCAATGAGCTTTATGATCACTCCCTTGGAACATATGACTTTGATTTGGTCATCATGGTGGCAGAGAAGTCGCAGAAGGTTGGTAACAAATTTTAGTTGTGTGTCATTGTTGCACATTTTTAGTTTGCAAGCATATGCAAACCTGTACACCGCATTGCTTGTGCAAGAAAAGGTGAAGTGTGGTATACTGTAACATTCTCTTTCTTAGAAAGTGGAACATATGTTCTGAAAAATAGCACAACAATCTGTAACATCTGATACTGTCACCAAGCGCTGCCGATTCTATTTCCTAATTATTTCAATAATCACTAGTCACTTTAACCGTGTCTGTAATGAGCACGTGTACTTTTTTATAGGACCCTAAAGAGTACCTTCCTTTTCTAAACTCCCTGAAGAAGATGGAGTCGAATTACCAAAGATACACTATAGATAAGCACCTTAAAAGATACAAGAAAGCTCTGGAACATCTCAGTAAATGTGGTATGATATTTCCTTTTGTTTTAGCATCCAAGATCTAGTCGGGGGGAAAAATATACGTGACAAAAACGGCATAATTTCACTTTATTAATCAGTCACCCATGCGGTTCCTCAATCAGTGTTGTGATATCTCACAGAAATGTTTAATATTGACTGTGTATGACCTGCTTATAAACATGATAGTTGGTTTAACATGATCTTTCAAGCCATCTGATTATCTCTGTGTAAACATATTTACTGTAAAGCAATGACAGAGACAACATACAAGCTTCTGTTTCTGAATGGTTTTCTCAATACCCTTAGAAAAGCTGTGAGATCTACTGAACATTACTGATCACAGTGAACTGATTGCATTTAATTTTGAATAGTCTACTTTAAAATGCTTTGTTTATTCTTTTGGCATTTCTAATTTATAGATTTTTTTTTTTTTTAACTCTGGATAAATTAAAGTAAACTACATCTAAAGTGTCCTAAATATGCATCCTGTTTTCAGTAAACAATCTATTATAGTATCTTTTAAAATTTCTCATATGTATTGTGTGTTTTACCTGTTGATCCTGCCTGTGCTGTTGTCAATGCTTCATTTCCTGTGGAGAACTGTCAAAGTTTTCATAGTGCTGTTAAATTTACAGCAGCTTGTCAGCCCTCTGATCTGCTTCTTCTCATTTCTCAAAGCATTGCCACATGTACATCGGCGTCCACCACCATCTTCTCCTTCAGCGCTCCCAGGACAGACCAGATAGAATCTGATTGGTCAGTGCGCCTTCACATTGACGATGCTGACCAATCGGAATACATTTTGTCCATCCTGAAAGTGCTGACTGAGAATAGGAAGGATTTAAAACCCCCGGACTGCTGGAGCTGCTGTGAGTGCTGACAGCTCGGCAACCCTGGAGGTATGTACAGTGGGGACTGGAGGGTGTTTAGTTCACATTTACATTTTGTTTCTGTAAATCTGAACTAACCTTTTAAAACATTTATTGCTTCTCTCCTCATAGCAGATCCTGCTCGCTGCCTGTAAAGAAGCCTAATTAAGGTTTCAGTGGACATGTGACTGCAGTATAAAATTGCTTAAATGATATAAAATGTATTTTAATGTTTAAAAACTGCTGCAAAGGGCTATTTCCTTTGTTGCACCACTCCGTTTTCAGTGTTTATTCTTGCCATCTTTAACATTTGCTTCTCAGGCCCAGAACATTTTGTTGAATTTTTGAACTTGGTTAAAGATCAGAATCTATACACTGAAGCCTTGAAACTCTATCCAGCTGGATCTATTGAATATAAGGTTAGTAACCGCATGGTATATAATGAAATATTAATCGCTACTACTTTGAATCTCTGGATGACATCTGAGGCTGTCTACTCTTTTATATCTAAACAGTTTGATGTCAGAGTAAAGAAAACCTGTTATGAAAGAATTGTGGCAGCTGCCATTGCTTACTTTTCAATACTTTCTAAACTGAAAGTATGCAGATAAGGACCTTTTTTTTTTTTTTTTTTTTTTTTTTTTTTTTTTTTTTTTTTTCCCCCGTGTCCCTCTAACTTTCACGATTTAATGTACTTTTTTCAAAGTCAGTATATCATTGAAATCACTGAAGCTAGAGAGCCAGCGTTACAGTCACGCAATAGAATTTCAAGGAACAGGACAACATTGGAAACTAAATTTTGGTTTAAAAAAAAATTCAAGTATATATTTTCTCAAAAAACTACCTTCTATTGCTCTCAGCTTCTTCCAAATTCCCTGCTTTGATCTGACTTCCTGTTAGAGGGTGGCTATGTTTGTTCTCCATGTTTCCACTGTATGTAGGAACATAGCCACTCCTTTTTGCCCACTCCCAAGATGGACAGAGACTATGTACTATGGGATTTGTAGCATAGAGCAATGTACATAACCACAACTGACATGCACTGCTTCTTCTAAACAAATGGAAGTGTGGGAGGGGGAAGTAGCAGTTCGGGGGCTCACGGAGGACATTACAAGGAGGCAAAAAAACAGTAAGGAACCATTGAATGAAAAATGTACTAAAGGGCCATTAAGTTGCGGATGTGTACGGATGATTTTAGGAGAATGAGCATATTGGTTAGTGTCCCTTTTAAGTCCATGTTTGACTGCATTTCTGTATGTTATTGCTTTCTAAAGAATTACATAAATTATGTTTTACAGTCTATCAATGATGCATATGGGGATTATTTATTTTCAAAACGTCAGTATGAACAAGCTGGTCTCATCTTTGCTCGCTGTGGAAGTTTGGAGAAGGCTCTTGATTCTTTTGTTGCATGTAGTGGCTGGCAGCAGATACTGTGCATAGCCTCCCAGCTGCAGTACGCACAGGACAAAATGGCCTCTCTAGCTCGGAGTGTGGCAGGTGAGTGATTGATTACCTCTTTTCAGATGGGAAAGTTTATGCTGAAGGTTTACATAAACATACATAATAACCACTTGCCATCCAGGCCAATTCTGACATTTCTCATACATGTAAAAATATTTTTTTTTTTTTTTTTTTTGCTGGAAATTTACTTAAAGTCCCCAAACATTATACTGTTAAGCAGAGGCCCTAGAGAATAAAATGGTGGGTGTTACAATATTTTTTCTGTGTTGCACGGTATTTGCTCAGCGGTTTATCAAATGCAATTTTTTGGGGGAAAATTACATTTTAATGAATTTTAGTGCACACAAACACAATATAATACCCAATTGTTTGGTAAAATATCAAATGTTACACTGAGTAAATAGAAACCTAGCATTTCATGCTATAAAATTGTCCAAGCCAGTGAAACTTCACCAAACTACAGTAACTAAACATTTCTATAGGTGACGCTTTAACCACTTCAGTACCAGGCGCTTTCACACTTTGAATGACAATTGTGCGGTCATACAACATTGTACCCAAACTAAAATGTTATCATTTTGTTCACACAACTAGAGCTTTCTTTTGGTGGTATTTAATCACCACTTGGGGTTTTTATTTGTTGCTAAATTAACAAAAAAAGACCAAACATTTTGGAAAAAAACATGTTTCTGTTATAAAAGTTTGCAAATAAATAGTTCTTCATAAATTTAGGCCAAGATGTATTCTGCTACATTTCTTTGGTGAAAATAACCCAAATCCGTGATTATTATGTAGTCTGTAGGAAAGTTATAGAGTTCACAAACTATGGGATATATCTGAAAATTGATCAATCCTGAAGTACTGCCGGCCAATCTTAATTTCTTGAGGCCCAAAAATGTCAGAACAGTACAGATATCCCCCAAATGACCCCTTTTTGCAAAGTACACAGTCCAATGTATTTCATAACAGGCATGGCGAGTTTTTTGAAGTTGTAATTTTTTTGTTATTTTTCGGAAAACGAAGAAATTAAAAAAATCATTTTCACAATTTTTTTTTTTTACATACTGTCACCAGTGCAGTACAGCGTCATCATATAACTGGTGTGGCGGTAATCAGGGACGCTGACTGGTGACAGTACAAAAAAAAAAAATAGATTTTTTTACTTTATTTTTTATTATATTTTTTTTACGATTTTTTTTACGATTTTTTTTCATATTAAATTATGACCAAAGTAGTATAATGTTACTATAGTAACATTGTACTACTTTGGGGAAGTGATCAGTATTTTTTTTTTTATTTTTTTTTTTTTTTTTTACATAATTTGATTGCTTATAGCAAAGAATTTCTTTCCTATAAGCAAGCATTTAACTGAATCGATTTATTCAGGTTTTTTTGTTGTGATTAGCTGTGATTGGCCACGGCTAATCACATGACACAGATGGGCTGTGATTGGCCCGGCCTGTGCGAGTGATCACTGTGACCATTCACAGCTAGACACACTTGTATACAATGGATGGCATGAAAAGAAGCCATCCATTTTATACAACTGTCGTGATCTGCTGTGATTGGTCACAGCAGGTCACATGGTATTGGCAACGGGGCCGGTACACAGATCTGTCATCGGCCGTGTCCGATGTACAGGGCTGGTGACAGGTCTCACCACAGCGCGGCCCTGCGGGCACGCACACAGCGCGATCCGGGAAGGACGTAATAGGACGACCTTCCGGAGGGACGAGATGCTCAAGTGACGACCGGGCGGCAAGTGGTTAAAAGCCTTTACATGTTATCAGTTTAGAGTCTGAAGCCAAAATAATTATTCTCGCTCTGACATTTGTGCGTGACCACACTGTCCCTTTTTTTTTTTTTTTATCAACTCTATTGCTATCACAAGGGATGAACAACATCCCTTGTGATGGCAATAAGCATGACAGCTTCTCTTTATGGAGAGATCTAGGGTTTCTTCCAGTTTCAGATCTCACAGAGAGGGAGGAACAATGTCAATTTCTCACTCTGTTCACTGCTGCAGATGCTGCCAGTTGGAGCTGTCCCAGGCTCCCTGATGGCACTACAGAGAACCCCTGGGGAGATCCCCTCCACTGTATGTAGAAGTGACTGGGTAGCTCTATAGTCACTTGAATCAATTCTACATTAAAGGAAATCATTGGCTGAAAATGTTGTTAATGGGATGATACCTTCAGGTGCAGGCATCATCGCAGTATAACCACTAAAACTCCAGGTCATCATTTCAAAGTTTTATTTTGAAATACTTACCATTAGTCGCTATATAAAAATGCTTATAGAATTACTAAGATTAGAAAATACTCAAACAGATGTTTTCATGCAGACATTTATGGATTTAGGGAATTTCAAAATCAAATGATGTGGAAAATATTTTAAACCCAACGAGGAAAGTACTCACAGTAGCATAGCAACACCATGCTCTTTATCAAAACTTTATAAAAAATTTGGAGGTGTGCATGACACATAATAATTAAGGCTGTTTTCTGTATATGGTGTAGTGCATATTTCAGTAGTTTTATTGTTTCCATCCAGGCAAACTGGTAGAGCAGAGGAAGCATGAAATTGCAGCATTACTTCTGGAACAATATGCTGAGGTATAGTCTCCTTTTAATTATGTTATTAATTTGAACAAACCATAACAGTTCTTCCATAGAGGGCATTGAAACAGTGTGACAATATAATGGGCACTGGACATACAGCTGTATATAACAATAACTTACAGTATTACTGTGGTTTTTGCAATGTAACAATAGTAGCTGTTTTGGAATTTTTTGTGTATGGAATATGTTGGGGATTTTTATTCCTTTTATTGGTAAAATTATTTAAAAAGGCAGCTGGATTTGTCTTGGTGGGTGATAATAGATACAGCTCTGGATATATTATCTATTTTTTTCATGTACCTGTTTAGTAAGCTTTAGGGCCTATGTCTTTGGGGTTTTGTTGATGGAATTATTTTGGGATGCAGGTGCACTTGACATGCATTTGTCCTCACTTGCACTTGACCTGTTTCTAGAGGAGTTTGCACTCCCACAGGCTTGTATGGGAATTCAAATCCTGACATGAACAAAACCCAACACAGGCACTTACTTCTGTGTACATATAGTTCAGTTTTTTGTTTTTTTTTTAGAACAGTTGCCGCTTACGGTTAATGATTCTGTATATATTTCAGGATTATGAAGAAGCCATTCTATTGCTGTTGGAAGGAGCATTCTGGGAAGAGGCCTTGCGACTGGTAGGCTGTTTAAAAGATTGACGCAATATAAATGCCTATAATAAATAAATTCCTACTCTGCTGCTTTGTTGGCTTCATTGACTCAGGTGTATGATCTGAGTACTGGACCACTTTTTAACCCAGAGCTAAGATTGAGGTTAAAACATGCTGTGAAGAAAACACATGTGGAACCCTAACCCTCATAATTTCTACTTTAGGTACGGTATTTGCCGGGGTATAGGACGACTTTTTAACCATGAAAATCTTCTGAAAAGTCGGGGGTCGTCTTATACGCCGGTGTCAGGGCGGCACTTCCACGGTGGCGGAAGGGACACTAAGTACAGGGGAGGGCAGGGGGCTGCTGTACCTTACCTGGCTCCTGTCCCGGTCCCACGACAATCCGGTCCAGGAAGCGCGGCTGCTCCTTCTTTCAGTTCGGCCGCTCGATGGTCGCGTGGCCGCTCGGCTCCGCCTCCTCAACGGTGATTGGGCGCCAGCACTGGAAAGGCACACAGGCGACCAATCACCGGCGAGGAGGCGGAGCCGAGCGGCCCCACGAAAATCGAGTGAGGGAGCGGCCAGTAAGTGTGCAGCAGCACCATGCTGTGACACTCTTGGCACTATTCCTCTCCCCCACTGACACCAACGATGGGGCACTGTTCCTCCCCCACTGACACCAACGATGGGGCACTGTTCCTCCCCCACTGACACCAACGATGAGGCACTGTTCCTCCCCCACTGACACCAACAATGGGGCACTATTCCTTCTCCCCACTGACACCAACGATGGGGCACTATTCCCCCCCCCCCCCACTGACACCAATGATGGGGCACTTTTCCCGCCACTGATACCAACGATGGGGCACTATTCCTTCCACTGACACCAATGATGGGGCGCAATTCCTGCCACTGATACCAATGATGGGGCGCAATTCCTGCCACTGATACCAATGATAGGGCGCGATTCCTCCCACTGACACCAATGATGGGGCGCGATTCCTCCCACTGACACCAATGATGGGGCGCTATTCCTCCCACTGACACCAATGATGGAGCACTATTCCTCCCACTGACACTAATGATGGGACACTATTCCTCCCACTGACACCAATGATGGGGCACGATTCTTCCCACTGACACCAATGATGGGGCACTATTCCTCCCACTGAATAATGATGGGGCACTATTCCTCCCACTGACACTAATGATGGGACACTATTCCTCAAACACTGACAATAATGATGGGGCACCATTATTGGTATCAGTGGGAGGAATAGTGTCCCCATCATTGGTGTCAGTGGATGAAATAGTGCCCCATCATTGGTGTCAGTGGGAGGAGTAGTGCCTCATCATTGGTATCAGTGGGAGGAATAGTGCCTCATCATTGGTATCAGTGGGAGGAATAGCAGAGCGAGGAATCGTGCCCCATCATTGGTGTCAGTGGGAGGAATAGCACCCCATCATTGGAATACCATACTGAAATACCATACCATATTGAAATCAAATCTGATGTTTTTTTCATTTTTATTTGGTGTGTGTTGGAAGAGGGGTAGTCTTATACGGCGAGTATAGCTCAAACCCTATATTTTAACAGGAAAAGTAGGGGGTCGTCTTATACGCCGGCAAATACGGTATATTAGGTTAGGGTTTGTTGTCCCCACTGTGCATTTGCAACTCTATGGAACTAGCTGACAACATTTTCTTCCACGCTGCGCTTTACAAAGCCAAGTTCAGCTCTTGGCAGTTCAGCTTTAGATGCAAAATTCACCTGGCTAAATACTTTTTCAGATCTTTTTAAGAAATATTCTGCTAAAGGATACTTCATAAACTGGTCCAGGCTGTGCATATTTTTTACTGAGTTCGTTCTAAAAGGAATGAATGCTGTTAGGCACATACTAATGTGTTCCTAGGCATCCAACAGTAAGCTGCATCTGTCAAGATAGTTGTTTTGTAACGTGTGCAAGGGCTATTGGAGAGAATACAATGGTAAAATTGGTTATTTGTGAAATGAGAGCATTACAGAAACTAAAGGTTAAACTAGATAATGAGACTCTTTGCTTTTTTTTGTTTGTTTTTTACCCTTAGATACACAAATACAAACGTATTGATATAATAGAAACAAATGTGAAGCCTGCAATAACTGAAGGTAAATGGATTGTATGGATAATACATACATGGGCATCATTCAACAGTTTAATAAATAAATGAAGTTTGCCTAGTTTTTAAAGACATTCTGTCACTGCCAGTCATCTACACTATCTGAACATCCACTCCTTAAATTAGGATTACTTACAATTTTTTCCTTTTTAGGGCCCCCCTACAGGTATATGCCATAATGTGCTAGTATGTACAGCATATCGGCACATTATAGCAGACTTTGCCTGTCAAAAAAGCCCTCCAGTGCTGCACTGTGATCTATCTTCCATCTTTGCCTGGTTTTCCTTACGGGTTCCTTGCCTTTAGCCGTTTGAATGGCCAGGCTGTGTTGATATCACTCCAGGGTATGCGTGCAGCACAGATCAGGGCCGGAAATGCGCAGCTCAGTGTACAACTAACAGGCAGGAGGAAGCTCTTATGATAGCAGAGACTGACAGGGTCTCTTCTATCATAAATATCCTGCTTGTCAGTAATTTTTCAAAACAAGCCTTTACTACCACTTTAACGTTTCTCCCTGTCAGAGCATGTGTGTCAAACTGTAAAACTGTCCCATACAGTCAGGCAGTTTGTCAGTAACAAAGGTGCTGTTAGGATTACATGAATTAAAACTTGAGGCTTTGTTAATGCACAGCTTCCCCTTCTCCAGTAGCCTGGTCAGAGTGTCCCATGGGGCTGACATCTCTGTTCTGTCTGTGAGACAAACACACACACACACACACACACACACACTCACACTCACACTCTCTCTCACTCTCTCTACACTTGCGATCAGTAAGCCCGGGCACCCCCCCACCCCCCCTTTCCGAGCTCATACAACCGGATAAGCAGCTATTTGAGCAGGATCTGTGCTTAAATAGCTACCATGAAAGACAGGGGACACATTGGCAGTCTATTAGACCACTGATGTGTCCATAAAGGGTATTTGTGAAGTTTCATCACGTGTGGGCTTATTAACCTCTTTGTGATGGCAACATAGTTAAAATTGAAAAGTTAAAAAAAAAAATATAATGTATTAAAAATATTTTTTTTCTAACCCCTGCTGTCCTGCACACACCCACAAATGCCCGCACAGGCTGTACACCTGTATATAAACTGCGATTACACCACGCATGAGTTATAGCAGTGAATGTCAGGGTGAGAGTCCTCATTCTAGAGCCAAACTTAACAGTTAACTCTAAACTGATGAGCAGTAAATTCAGCAATAAAAGCTTTTGAAGCATCGCCTAAATAGATTTTTGGGTACCCTAGTTTTTTGTGATATCATAGGTGTATGCAATTTTAAGACTATATGTTTGGTATCTATTTAATCAACGCAACACCATCTGTTATATTGGGTATTATATTGTGTGTGTTTGCACTAACATTCATTTTATTATACTTTTTCCCAAAAAATCTGCACATATATCCTGAAAAAAAAATTCAATTAATATCTTTCTTCTATAAAGCCTCTACTTTCAGAAAATATATGATGTTCCGGAGGTTTTAGGTAATGTTATAGCCAAAAATGCAGATTTTTACATGGAAAAATGAAAGAAAATTGCTCTAGAGCAGAACTGTTTAATTTGAAAGCTTTAACTATATTGTCTGGACATGATTTTACCTTAACTATTTTTTGAAATAATCATTCATTATTTGCTCAGCTCAGAAGAGTCACATGATATTCCTGGATAGCCAGAAAACAACATTCGCTCGACACAAACAACGCCTGTCTGTTGTACGAGAACTGAAGGAGAAAGCTCGACAAGGCTTGTTGGGTAGTTATTGTGGATATTATTTTGTGTGTATTTGTGTATATATTTATGTATATATCCTTCAAGAGCACCTTAACTCACGTCTTCAGACAGCCATACAAATAGGAAGTCATTCTCTTCACTGATACATCTTTGCTTTAACATCTAAAAAGGGGCACAGAATCTCTTCATATACCGCTTACCCTTGTACATCACTTACTTGTTTCTATTGCTGTAGCACTTTATCTCAAGACATGAAATAAGGAATCTTATCACTGCTACCATTGTAGTGCTCGAATCTTAAGCACCTCATGGATGACTCTATTTTCTTTCCTTCCACCATAGGTAGGAATGTCTCCCAGGAGCCTTCCAAGCTGGCAGAACACGATTACTGTTAATGCTATAGCAGCTGGCAGTAATCAAATGTAAAAAAAATCAGACAGGCTGGTTGTACCCAAGTCGATTGATGGATTGACTTGGGTACAATCAGCCTGCCCATACATGGATCGAATCTAAACCCATTCAGCAGCATCAATGTATGGCCAGCATTCGACTATTATTTCAGTGATCAGATTTTGACAAGATCTCTAAATTCCTGGGAGCATTTATATTCAGTTCATGTGCAGTGACCCCAAGGAAACTGTTTATATTTGCAATCTAAATCTCTTGACATTGATCCATTGAAAGAACACACACTCACTTAAAAAGAATAAAAAATACAGCCCCAATCCAAAAAGTTGGGATGCTGTGTAAAATCTACAGAATGCAATTATTTGCAAATCTCATAAACCCAGTCTTAATTCACAATAGAAAATAGGAAACATATCAAATGTTTAAAGTAAGAAAATGTACCATTAAAAAAAAATAAGATAATTTTGAAATCGATGGCAACAACGTGTCTCAAAAAAGTTGGAGCAGGGCAAAAAAAAAGCTGGTACTAACAAGGAAAAACTGGAAGAACATTTTACAACTAATTTTGGGTGATTGGCAACAGGCCAGTAACATGATTGGGTATAAAAAAGAGCATCTTAGAGAGTCAGAGTGTCTCAGAAGTAAAGATGGGCAGAGGTTCACTTATCTGTGAAAAATTGTTTAAAAATTGTTGAACAATTTCAGAATAATGTAGAATTGATGTTATAAAAGTTACCTAACTTCTAACAAATGGCAGGTTATAGTAATAGCAGCCTCAGGTCTTGCAGTTTCAGGATTGTCTATTGTTTAGAAGGGGCCGACTTACATCTTGCCCAACAATCAGATCAATTTCAGTTGTCATAATGGCAAAAGCCCCCTGGCCAGGCAGGTTGTGAATTGGACATATATGTTACACATTTCAAAGAGTAAGCAACCACTTGCTGTTTTGTGACATCCAGATTTGGACTCCAGCAACTCTACTCTAAATGCTTAATATAACACTGAGCTAGCTGACAACCTAATGGATAAGTTCAAAGGATAATGGGGTACAGTGGCGCTAAGAGGGTCCGTGGGGAGAGGCATAGATGTCAATATGTAACATAGAAGAGAAAGTCTGTACATGTCTATATACAGAGTAAAAAGTCCAAAACTATATTCCAGATAGCTGTCAGAATGAAGCTTCTCTGTGAGGAAAAATAATGGGGGGAACACAACAGCACTGATCTGAGTGTAGTAAAAAGATAAAACTTTTAATAGGAAGTGGTCAAAAAGTCTCACAAAAGAAATAAGATGGATTACATGAGATAAAGTAGACTCCTCTATCCAAACTCTGTTCAGGGTCATGTCAGATGGATACCGATGTGGGCGTCTTCAGTCACGGACCGCTTGGTCGCACTGGTGGTTTCCAGAGCTCCAAGGTTGCTGGTAGATCCGAGGCCGATGGTTGTGATGTCATCGGAAGCGGAAGAAAGAGGGCTAGCAAGCTCATTGGCAATGAGTGTTTTTCTTCCATTTCACTGGGGAGGTGCATTTTTAGTGTTTTTTTTTTTTTTTTTTTTTTCTCTGCACCAAGCATGCACCAAAAATGCAACAGGCCCATAACTGATTGTGAAGAGTTCTATAGAATTTTATGGTCATGTGCTTTTCTCATGAGTGTGAAAGCAGCCTAAGATTAGCACATGCATAATCAATGAAATTGTTTCTCTTTTGCTGCACCTTCATTTTTTAGACGATGAGATCCCTGGAGGTCCAGAATCAGATCTGTTTTCTGACACAAGCAGCATCATGACTACAAGTGACATGAGTGGAAAATATTCTCACAGTAATTCCAGAATCTCCTCGTAAGTGGATATTTACAATTGGCATAAAGATAGTTTTACCCATTGCTAAAGGAGTGTGACTCGAGAATTAATTGTTTTACATGTAGAAGAACTTCCAAGAATCGTCGAAAAGCAGAGCGCAAGAAGCACAGCCTAAAAGAAGGAAGTCCCCTAGAAGATGTGGCTTTAGTAGAGGCACTTGGAGAAATTCTGCACACAGTGGATAAAATGAAAAGTGAGTCTGTGCACCCACATTCTGTTGTGGGAAACTACATAATTAGTTCCCTAGGAAACAGAGGTTGATCCAGAATACAGAAAACCCCAAATGCCTCCTTTTTGTAATTCGCTTTCCATATCATAATTCACTTCATTTTTCACATTAATGTCTTACCGCTAGTACCTGCCATATGAGAGAAGCTGCAGCACCACAATCCTTGTTTCTATGGGCTTTGATGACATTAATGAAATGCTGTCATAAATGGATTTTCTGTTTTCCTAAAGCCACTTTTTTTTCCTTCTCCATTGAGAGGCACAGAAAGTGTCTAACCTTAGGGTTTTATTGCTGCCTAAGGCTAGGTTCACACTTTTGCAGGTGTGGGAATCACACCTACAACCACCTGCAGCCAAAACATGCAGGACTGCCATTCGTTCTTAATGGCACCTCCATGTATCTAAAAACGTGGCGCATTTGTGGGTGCGGGGGCCACAGAGATATCGCATGGTGCAAATTCTGTATTTTCAAGGTGCTGCAGGAAACTTTTTCCTGCTTGAATCGCAGGCACAGCAGCCCATTCAAATGAATGAGCTGCAATAACTACGCAAACATGACCTGCAATAGTGTGAACCTTGCCTACACGAGGATTGGACACTGCCAAACAACAAAAAAAAAAAATTTGACCCAGGAAACCTCACTCTTTGCTATTGTCCTAGGATGATGGACATCTTTTCTATAGTACTGCTGGGAAAAGACATCCTAATTTTGTTTTCCCAATGGAGACATTGCTGCTAAAACTGGTGTTTATTGTAGCAGCTATCCAGACTGGCTTTTCCACAGCCTAGCCTTGGAGAGCCATGCTTGGACTCATCTAGAGTGGACATTGCATGGCTAGCATGGAAGTTACTTGGAAAGATGTGTTTAGGACTATGCTCTTGGTACAAAACTGAGGTATGCTGGTAGTAGGAGGGGTTATCCTGGGCTGGTCCACAATTTTTTTGTTTTCTAGTATTCAATCCTCCTGAAGGTAGCAAGATAACACAATAACTTCCTGTATCCCTCAACTGACCCCAAGGGAATGATTTTACAGTGAGTACAAAAATCTTTTTTTTTGGGTGGGGGGTTTGGATAGAGTGGGAAAGAATTAACCTGTTCCTGCCCTGCCAATAGCAGAATGACTGCCGAGCGAGACTCTTTGATCCGGGTGAGCGTCTTATGCCCTTTCTGTTCATTGAGAACTACAAGCCATCAGTCACAATGGCTGATGGTACTTGTAGTCTGTTCATTCACAGGAAACTGTGAATGAATGACAAAGCCGTGTGGGCAGAGCCCTACACAGCTGCAATGTTTTCAAATTGTGACAGCAGGGGTGGGGAGAAGTGCTGGCAACAGGAGGTGGGTGTATAAGGAGCATGTTACACCCTAAATATGGGTGTAATATGCTCCTAAAGATGAACTTATCCTTTAAAGTGGTAGTAAACTCCAATTTAAAAAAAAAATTGCTGACCAGACAGGTTATTTATGACAGAAGATACCCTATCAGCCTCTTCTATCATAAATGCTTCCTCCTTCCTTCCGTCATGTACACTGAGATGCGCAGCTCAGCATGCATTTACAACCCCAGATCCGTGCCGCAGTGATGTTACTCCCACGTACACGTGCGTGTGTGACGTCATCAGAGACGAGCCATTCAAGCTGTCAAAGGCACAGAACCCATAAAGAAGACTGGGCGAAGATGGAAACTCCTGGGGCCCAGAGATCAATCACACCACAGCACTGGAGGGCACTGTTTGACAGGTAAGTTTGTCATTAGGTGTGAATATGCAGTGCATACTAGCACATTATGGCATAACGCACCTGAGGGCACTTAAAAAAAAAAAAAAAAAAACACTTAACTACTGCTTTAACTCTTCTCTACTATATCCAAAGTTTTGGCTGGCGTTGGGCTTTAAAGACAATGAAGACGGGGTGTTTCTGATCAGCTGTTTCCAATTAAAGTTAGAAGATCTAACAGTTGCTATTTATTTAGAAATGCATACCGTATGTTAACAGCAGTAATTCCCAGCAGCAAATTGCAGGCTATCTACAAATTCTTTCTTTTCAGAAACTGCTAAATGAGTGGGAAAAAAACCAAACCCATGGGACACAAGGGCAAACTATAAGGGAGATCGGTTTGGACAATATTGCTTTAGACACTTTGTTATGGACCAAACTTACAAATGTATAACTATTCTCAAGCTATGCACAAAAGCAATATGTATTACCTTGGTTGGTGTTGCGCTTTAGTAGAAAACTTTTTTTCTTCCTGTAGCCGAGGTGAACTGTCTCCTGAAAGTGCTTGTCCTCTTTGGTTATGATACTGAAGCCAGACAACTTCAAAAAGCATATCATGAATTCCTGCAGTTGATAGAGATATCAATACCTGAAATCTGGATTCCTAATGGCCAGTCAAATGCAGCAACGCCGGTAAGTTTCCTACTTGTGTAGGGCTTGAGTTTTTGTAAATAAGAAATGGGTTTTATCCTTATCAGTGCTCAGAAACCTAATGAACATTCCTTGTATTGTACACTGTTTTTGCTTTTAAAACCCCAAAGAGGTATGGCTGTAGTTTGAATGCAACCAGCAATCCGGACCCATTCAAGTGTGGGTGTGAATGAGCCCTCATAGCACAGCCGGTTTTCTGATAACCACCACACCAGCTACAGTGTTGCCAGACCAGTATAGTTATAATCAGTGTTCAGATTGCCACTACACCAGTGCAGGAAGCAACAGTTTTCCTGATCACCACCACACCTATCTTATTTTCACCAGACCAGTGTATGCCTGTGGTACATAATCTGTCCAGACACTGAACAATTCTCACACATGTTGTATTGCCATACTTGAGGTGTTTTGGTGTGTATTTTCTAAGTATGCCCATGTTGTGTATGAGAAATATCTACTTAAATTGAAACCTTTGTGTAAAAAATGTATTTTCATTTTCTTTACACATTTTCCAAAAGCTTGTGGCGAAAAAATGGAAATCTTCAAAATACTTGCCATGCCTTTTAAAGAATACTTTAGGGTGTTTACACTCCAAAATGTGGTCATTTTGAGTGTTTCCACTGCAATGGTGCTCCAGGGCCTCCAAAAATGTGAGTAGTCAGGAAATTAGATGCATAAATTATGCCCCGAGAAAGCTTGAAGGTGCTCTTTGCATTTTGGGACTATGTGGTTAGGCTGTGAAAAGTCTTAGACCTGTGGTATTGCCACACTCAGGAGTAGCAGAATGTGTTTTGAGTGTACTTATAGGTATGCCTATGATTTGGGCCCCTCCTATGCTTATGTTAGAAATATCTTATTAATTACCAACTTTGTGTGTTAAAAAACCCCCCAAAAATTCCATAAAACCTGTGGCGAAAAAATGAAGTCTTCAAAAAACTCACCATGCCTTAGAAAATACCTTTTGGGTGATTTCTTTCCAAAATGTGGTCATTTTGTGGGTGTTTCCACTGTCCTGGTTCTCCAAACACGTGATAGAAGTTTCAGGTGCAGAAAGTTGACATCTAACTTCCTGACTACCTGACGGTTCTCCTTGGATTTTGAGCCCCCTCTATGTGGCTAGGCTTTGAAAAAGTCTCAAAAATGTGATATCACCATACTCTGGAGGAGTACCAGAATGTCTTTTGGGGTGTAATTCTAAGTATGCCTATGATGTGTTTTAGAAATATTTTGACAACTTTGGGTAAACAAAAAAAAAAAATTAAATTTCTTTCCTGCATTTTCCAGAAACGTGTAACAAAAAATTACAATTTCAAAAGAATCACTGTGCCTTTCAGAAAATACCTTGGATTGTTTTCTTTCCAAAATGGGGTCATTTTGTAGATGTTTCCAAAGTCCTGGTGCTTCAGGGCCTCCAAAAATGTGATAGGTAGTCAGGTACTTAGATGTGTAATTTATAGTCCAGGATCACCTAAAGGTGCTTCTTGGATTTTGGGCCCCTCTATACAGTTGTGTTCAAAATAATAGCAGTCAGACATCACTAACCTAATTGATCACGTTTTTTGGTAGAAATTATATTTCTACATGGCAAATAATTTACTAGCAGGTGTAGTAGAGTAATAGAAATCCAACAGTCATGACATGCATGCTGCTGATTCTGTGTAATTGAATTACTAATTGAAAGGGGCATGTTCAAAATAATAGCAGTGTGGAGTTCTATTAGTGAGGTCATTCATTCTTTGAAAAACAGGTGGCAATTATTGCCCTTATTTAAGTAAGGAAGACCGCAAATGTTGTACTTGTTGGTTACAGTGCATTTCTCTCTGAAATTCTGAGGAAAATGGGTCGTTCCAGACATCGTTCAGAAGAACAGTGTACCTTGATTAAAAAGTTGATTGGAGAGGGGAAAACATATAAAGAAGTGCAGAAAATGATAGGCTGCTCAGCTAAAATGATCTCAAATGCTTTAAAATGGTAACCAAAACCAGACGTGGAAGAAAGCGAAAAACTACCATTCGAATGGATAGAAGAATAGCCAAAAATGGCAAGGACTCAGCCAGCAATCAGCTCCAGGAAGATCAAAGAAGGTCTAAAGTTACCTGTGAGTACTGTTACAATTAGAAGACGCCTATGTGAAGCCAAGCTATCTGCAAGAAGCCCCCGCAAAGTCCCACTGTTGGAAAAAAAGACATGTGCTGAAGAGGTTAAAATTTGCCAAAGAGCACATTGACTGGCCTAAAGAGAAATGGCGCAACATTTTGTGGACTGATGAAAGTAAGATTGTTCTTTTTGGGTCTAGTGGCCGGAGACAGTTTGTCAGACGACCCCAAACACTGAATTCAAGCGACAGTACACTGTGAAGACAGTGAAGCATGGTTGCGCAAGCATCATGATATGGGGATGTTTCTCATACTACGGTGTTGGGCCTATTTATCGCATACCAGGGATCATGGATCAGTTTGAATACATCAGAATACTTGAAGAGGTCATGCTGCCTTATGCTGAAGAGAAAATGCCCTTGAAATGGGTGTTCCAACAAGACAACGACCCCAAACACACCAGTAAACGTGCAACATCTTGGTTCCAGACCAGAAAGAATAACGTTATGGAGTGGCCAGCCCAATCCCCGGATCTTAATCCAATAGAAAACTTGTGGGGTGACATCAAAAATGCAGTTTCTGAGGCAAAACCAAGAAATAGAGAAGAACTGTGGAATGTAGTCCAATCATCCTGGGCTGGAATACCTGTTCACAGGTGCCAGAAGTTGGTTGACTCCATGCAACACAGACGTACAGCAGTTCTGAGAAACAGTGCTTATACAACTAAATATTAATTAAGTGATTAAGCAAAATCTTCAGTTTATATAGTGAATGTTTGAGTTTGTAAAGAAAAATACAAAAAAAACTGCTATTTTTTTGAACAGTCTAATATATTCACTTTTGTTCAATTTTTTTTAGAGGAACAACACAAATTTGATATATTTTTCTTCATGTTTTGATTTGGAATAGAATGTGTAGTGTTCCCAATGCATTTGTGTGTATGGAAATAAAAGCTATTAGAAGGATTTTGAGCTTTATTCACTTTTTCAACACACTGCTATTATTTTGAACACAACTGTACATCTAGGATGTGAAAAAGTCTCACACGTGGTATCTTCAGTATGTATTTTGAGGTGTAATTGTAAGAATGGCTATGAAGTGCGTGTGAAATAAATTGTTAGACTGACATCACTGTAAAAGGAAAAAAAAATAATTTCTTAATATTACAAAAAAACTTGTAGCAAAAAAAAAAAAAAAAAAAAAAAAAAAAAGGAACAGCTTTAAAAAAAAAAAACTCACCATGCCTCTTACTAAATACCTCGGAGTGCATGCTTTCTAAAAGGGGGTCATTTGAGGGTATTTGTACGGTCCATGTTAGGGCCTCAAAAAAATGAGAGGCAGTCAGAACATCAAGATGGATCAATCTTCAAATATAATTATTATATATATTAATTACACACACATATACACCATAGTTTGTAGACTATAACTTTCACACAGCGTAAATAATTAACACTGATTTAGGTTATTTGTTACCAAGTAAAATGTAGCAGAATACATTTTGCTTGGTATTTATGAAGAAAAATTATTTGCGAAATCAGAAACATTTTTTTTCAACCTTTTCAGTCTTTTTTGTTTATATAGCAAGAAACAAAAAAAAACAGTGGTGATTAAATGCCATCATGAGAAAACATGAGTAATTGTCAAAGTGTAACAGTGCTGAAATCTGAAAAAATGGCCTGGGTAGGAAGGGGGTGAAAAATGTCTGGTCTTTATAATCAATACTTTATTTTTTGTTACAGGTCCTAGGTCCTCATTCAACTGCTAATAGTATAATGACTTCATATCAGCACCAGAGAAATATAAAGTCAACAGAACAAGGTAAGAGACTATTTTTTGTGTTGTACTTAGTAGATCCTTTTTAATCGAAAGGAAAAATGGATAATAGCTTTGTGTAAAAAAACAATAGCACACTCTATATGACCAAAACATATAGTACTGTACAGTCTAGCGCTCGGGTGTTCAGTTAAAAGTCCAATGTACTTGAGTGGAATGAGTCAGATAAAAACTGGAATCTGCTGCTTCTAACATGGATGTGGGATCGATCCATCCATATACATGAAAGCGAACAAAAAGCAGGGCACAGGATCACTATGTATAATCATTTATTATCCAAAAACAATAGTACACTTCCATGTTCAAAACCTGACACTGACAAATTCAAGATGCTGCAATGCAGGGCATTGTTTTCCACTTGTTTTTCTCAACAAAACATTCTGGGCAATCTGAGCATTACAGGGATTGTAACAACTTTGTTGCAGATTCCTACCTTTTTCTGAAGAAGTAGCTGTTCATTTGTGTCCATGTGCAAAATTAATGTGATTGGGAGTGATTTTATAATTATGAATCAGCTGCTGCACTTTCAGTGCTCTAATAAGGAAAGTGGGCATCCCCTTAGATGTAATTTCCCTTTGGGACTATCTCACCAAAAATGACATTGTTGCAGAGGATGCCCAAAATGTGACTTGTATCTTAATGCAGATTTCTGGGACAATCAGTGAGACAATCACACAAACTGGAAATTACATTCCTGGGGGGCGTTCTGTACACCTTCTGTTTACAGAACGCCTCCAGGTTGTCATTTTGCATTGAACTTAACAGAAAATTACAGCAATACAGCTTGAAAAGAAACAGTAGTAATGTTCTCTTGCAATTGTATACGCTATACTAAATTTTTATGTGCTATTTCCCCCCCCCCCCCCCCCCATGCAAGTGGAGTTACCCTTTAATGGTCATTTTGCCTGTGCCAATAGATTGTCTTTACGTTATAGCAACCTGTTGGATTTTTAAAACTCAATTCTTTCTCATTAACCATTCTGTATGGTTTTTGTCATTCTGTCTTTCAGATTCTGAACTGACTACAGCTCCTAAGCTTTGTAAAACTACACAGTGGAAGCTTGATCTGCTTGATTAAGACTGGAGATGATCACCCCTTAAGTCTTAGGGGGAAAAAGACTTTTAAAACAAAAATAATGCAGCCACTTTGGAAACATACTGACCTAGATGCACCATGCAGAAGATTATTATTTAAGCAACACAGTATTCAGTCTTGCTAGCCCTGAGATTATGGCGTCTCCAATCCTTCTGCAGCACAATATTAATGTTCAAGAGTGAATAAATACAAATGTTTAGGCTTTGCTACACAGAGCATAATGTGAGGATTTATTTTGCTTTAACTACAAGGACTTTTTCAGGCTCCTGTTAACTTCACTCCTAAACTGATAAAGCAGAGCTAAAAGTCAACAACCTGAAATGCATGACAGCAAGGAATTCTGGGTCGACTGGTTATTACTTTTGTGGCTACTGTGTGAAGAGCTTATCACTAAAGGCAAAATGTAGTTCTGGTGACATTCTGGAGGGATTTCCTCTCGCTTTCCTTTTTTTGAGGGATTTCCTCTCACTTTCTGGTTTGGCTATGGGACACGAAGTGAAATCTCCCCAGTGGAACACCGATGGCAAAAAAAAGAAAACCTGCCCAGGGTTATAATTCTTATTCTATCCCAAACAAAGTTTTGCCTTTAAGTGGAGTTCCCGCTTACACCTTACTAGCCTTAAATCTTTTGAAAAAAATAAAATAAATGCACATGTTTTTGCAGGTTAAAAAAAGCATTTATTATTGTGACGATCGCGCATCAGACCCCAGCCCTTCTCACCAAACTCGTGACCGAAGGACTAGCCAATCTAAAACCGCAATGTCACGTGCGTAACAATGCCACGCCCAGCTGCACCCTGCACAACGATTTTACAGCTAATAGACCACAAATCGATGTACTGGCAGCCTGAGTCCGATTGTTACTGGATCAGGTTAATTATGCAATCAACCCTTCACACTGCCACCACCTCCTTTTTTGTACAGAGAAAGAGGAAACTGGGCAATATCAGCAATAACACTAAGATGATTGGATAATCGTCTGGATACCACTGTCACTGCAGACAGGCTATACAGAGGGTTAAACACACATAGTAGCGCTCTTCAGCGGCAGGAATTCGTAAGTTGCATTAACGAGCAACCGTTCAACACTATAGAAACCGTTCAACACTTTCAGAAAGATTTTTATTACTAAAAGGGTGCAATAAAAATATTTACAGAAAAAAGGTGTAACCAATATATATAGAAATATACAGAGAACAGCAGCACAGCAAAAAGATAACAGAAAGAAAGTTAGGTAGATAAGTACTTGCCAAAAAGTCCTGGGTTAAGCAGATCAAATTTCAGAGCAAAAGGGCACCGTCTCCCAAGTTGGTTCTGATGTTAAAAGGGAGAATTCTTCAACTTCCACTCTTAGGCCTGACAGCTTATTTTGTATTCCCCCAGCAAGGGGTGTCTCTGGAGCCAAGAACCAATGCCTCATTTGGGGAGGGGTGTCTGGGCGGAGACCCAAACTAGAACCGAAATCTCTCATAGCTCATATTTTGCCTCATAACTCTTCCTAGGCACAAGTACCATTCCACCCGTGGGTAGATTAATATGCAGACACATCTGAGGAACAGTTAGATATGAAATACATACTTGAATGGTTTGAGATGTAATTTTCTGCTATCCTATATATTCCAGCCAGGGAGTGTGACCTATCAAACGATTTGTCTGATTGTGAGCAATCTGAAGATATGCCTGGTTTTTATGCAAGTCTCTCATATTCCAAGATATGAGACATAGGGGTAAAATGGATTATAAAAGTGGTATCTAGTTTATGACTCCCCTGGAATGTCTTTGAACTCAGGGGAAGGTTGGGTTATCCTTTTACAAGGTGCCAGATTGAGCTGAGTGCCGGGCGGTCTAGGAAACTGAGCAGAGATGTTTTATAGCTCGGAGCTCCCTGCTGTGCTCTGGCCTGCCTGTGATACTTCCAACACCCACACCGACCAAATGTCACTGTGGATCTCAGAGAGGGAGGGAGATGATCTAAGAGGGGAAGAAGGATCTACAAGATGGAGGGTTTGGAGCAAAATGATTGAAGCGCGGCCATCTCTGTGGGCATGATTGCTACAATTATTATTTTTTTTCTCAGGAGCCTGCAGAGCATTGCACCTATGATCGGTGGATTGTGAATGCAATGTCAGGCTCCTGCAGACACTTGCTACAGCTTTCAGCCTGTACCTTTGTACAGACTGGAAGTGTCACTGAACTACAGAGAGTACTCACAGCTCCCTCGCAGTTCACGGAGCACTACAAGCTGACTGCTGCCATAGAAGACAGGACTTGCATTTCATAGATTCTACTGAATGAATGACATGGCTGTTCAAACAGAGCCCTGCACTGTTTTTGAAATATCTGACAGCAGGGTGGATGGACTCCCCGCCCGCTGGCATTTGGGGGTTGGGGAGCCTGAATCCACTGATCGTGGGTGCAATGCTCTGCAGCCTCCTGAGAAAAAATTAAATAAGTGCATTTTTTTTTTACCTGTAATAACATCTGCATTTATTTATTTTTTTCCCAAAAGGTTTAAGGCTAGCTACGTGTAAGCTGGAATTTCACTTAATGGCAAAACTTCTTTTTCCATATATTAGAGGTACTTGTATAGCGCCATCAATTAACAGCACTTTACATACAGTCCCCAACTCACATTCATACACATACTAGGGGCAATTTAGATAGGATTCAGTTAACCTACCAGCATGGCTTTGGAGTGTGAGAGGAAACCGGAGAACCCAGAGGAAACCCATGCTGGCACAGGGAGAACATGCAAACTCTAGGCAGTTGGTGCCATGGTTGGGATTTGAACAAATGGCCCTAGTGCTGCCAGGCAGAAGTGCTAACCATTTAGCCACTGAGCTGCCTTGCTGGAGGCTCTTACATTAGGAAGCAAAGTCTACCCTCTGCCAAGGTGACTACCTCCATACAGAGACACAGTGCAGAACAAGGCATGATATGTCAGTAATGGGGAAAAGATCAGCTGCTGGTGACTAGTCTCTTGCCCTTTATCCCCACAATGTCCAGTCGGGTCCAAACACAGCAATCCAAAAGCCAAGCTGATGATGGCCACACTAGATAGCTGTAATTGGAGAGACCAGCTCTAGCAGAAATGTAGATAAGAGTCTTGACTGAAAAAAACAAAAGAAAAAGTTGGGAGTAAGATGCCTATCCTCCAACTCCTGCCTCTTAGTTGTAAAGAGCAATTAAAAGCCCAACTCCAGCTTTGCTAGCACTTTAAATAGTACATTTGACACAACAAACTATTTCCTTTACAAATAACTGCAGCAGCTGTCAGTGCTGTATAAACTGTATGTAGCATCACACAGTATGCAGCATTGTGTTCTGGCAATGGAAGAAAATCGAATAGGGTTGAGCACTGCTTAGCAATTTACAAGAAGCATTGTACAGAGGTGTCCCTAGGGGTGGTGTCAGCCCTTCAGAGAAGGATTGGTGCCGGTGTAGCAGTAAAATGAGTATCCTGTGAAGATATGTATCCCCTGGAGCAACTGCACATGTGCTGGTTTCAGACCGAAAAAGCCAATCTCCGACTTTAGCACAGAGCTGCCACAGTTAACCCCTTACAACCTGTAAACCGCTGAAGCTGATCCTACCGATCAGTTAACCCCGTATAGGTTCAACCTATACGGGATTAACTGATCTTGCAACCCATAGTGATCCGTGGGATCAGCTTCAGCGGTTTGCAGCCTGTAAGGGGTTAACTGTGGCAGCTCTGTGCTAAAGTTGGAGATTGACTATCGGCTTCTTCAGCCTGAAACTGGCACGTGCGCAGTTGCTTCAGGGGGATACTCATTACCGCCACACCGGGGTAGCTGTCACTGTGCTGGGAATCCGGGATCACCTCAATAACTGGCCAGGACTTTCACAGAGCCCAGAAGCTTTGCTGGCATCCTGCACCCCCAGTGATAGTGTCAACTGGTGCCACTCTGCCCCACTTTCATTTCACTGTTAACTATTTAACCCCCCTCGGTTTGCTTTTTAACAGTATGTGCACTCTCTTGCATACTACTATAATCCCCATCTACAAATTTGCCTACACCACCTTCTGTGCAGCTCTGCCTTTTGTGTCTACACCACTTTGTCCTTTTTCTGTCTACAGCACTTTGCTTTCTCTTTTATTTTCTGCCATTTTGAGACAAGCTTTCACCCTATTATAATCTGCACTTTCCATTTACACTCCATCTACCACAGCCCAGTGTTTATAGGGCTGTCTTATAGAAAAAAAAAAAAAGGAAGCTGCTGTAGAAGGTGACACTTACAGTATATGAAAAAGAACACCAATTAGAAGTAGAGTATGGGGAGAGAAAAAAAAACAGTTGGGTTTACTGATTCTGAACAGCTCAGGGTTTAATTTTTTTTTTTTTTAAATGGATAATAAAGTTACTGGGTGGAACAACAAAGTCCTAAATAGTGGTGCACATAATTCCTATGACAATGACAACATACATTATATGGAAATGTATTGTAGAGCAGTATGAAATATATTAATATAAAGCAGTGTGCAGAGCAAGCTGTAGTGTAAAACATACTGCACACCATACAGAAATAAAGCTTGGCTGCAGTTATAAAATAATCCTGGGGCTTCATGGCCAATACATACAATCATATTGTTGTGGAGACTGCTCAAGCACCCATGGCAGTGTCATAAATTATATCATTCACTGTCACTTTTCCTGGCCAGTTTGGTCTGCATGGGAACATTACAAACATCATATAGAAAATGCTATAATTACATGTGACAACTGCAAACAATCAGACTACAATATGTTTCAGGATATTATTTATTATAGTTTAGAGCATAAGTTAAAAGGACAGCTGTTTATTTCACACGAGTCGTACTACAGCGCATCCCCATGCATTTGGGGCAGTGTACTTGCACAGATGTCAAATTGGGAGCAGCAGCTATGTCCATGCAGCCACTGATGTCCCAATGCACATCAATAGGAATGCCTGCACAAGGATGCAATGAACCCCTATGCATATTCATATGAGTAAACACAGGGATACGCTGTAGTGCGTCCCATGTGAACAAGGCCTTACTCTATGCAGGAGTTTAGTAGAACAGTTATAGCTCATTATATGGTTTCTAAGCTCACAACTCAGACATTAGAAAAGGCTGGAAAACAAAACTTGCAATATGTACAGAAGGTCTGTATAATATATAGATTTTGTACTGATGTTAGGTCCAGTGACTCTTTAGGTGTTCCTTTAACTGAGGAATAGTGGCTTGCTGAACTCTGCATACATTGCACTTTAGAGAAGATTTAAGAAGCTCGGATGCTCCATCTTTTACCTCCACTTTTCCTTTTAGTTTTATCATGTCAATCACATCTAAAAGAAAAAAAAAAAAGTGAATTAAAAATAAATACATTTTTGACTTACCAGTACAATCAGTTTGTTTTGAGGATACAATAGACTGAACCTGAAGGTCCAATGTCCTGAGCCCAGACGGCCATAAAAGCCAACAGATGTACCCATATTTGAACTGTTGGGCACCAAGCCATTGTGCAGAAGACTTGGCACCGGGTTTAGCAGACTTGGGGAGTCCAAGACTTCCAATCCTAGAACTGTTAGCAAGCATATTTTGGGAAGCGCCCTCTTCAAAATAGTGTAGGGGAATCTTCAGATTTAGCGTTATCTAAAGAGTAGAATATTAGGATCTGACTCTAGCTGAGAAATGGGAGTAGGAGAAGAGGCAGGGCATTTTTGGGCGCTATACAACGATGATTGAATTAAAGCCCTAACCTGACAAAGAAATTGTGCTTTAGTCACATAGGCCACACATCCCGCATCCCCTGAAATAGAGCTAGAATTGGCTGCTGTAACTAGTGTTAAGATCAGTACCTGCTTCAGGGCAAGAGACACATTGTCGCTCTGCGGTTGTGTGGCCTTCGGCAGAGAGAATGTTCAGCTGCTGTTTAGAGTTGGCTCTCTTTTACCTGGTCTCTGTCATTGCTACAAGAGAGGGTGTTCCCCTGCAGGGTACTCACGGAGTAGGGTGTGGGAGATAGGGGGAAGTATCCAGTACAAGTACGTGGTAACCCAGGTGTGGACTGTCCTGCAATGAATTCTTGTGGTGAAAAAGCCAGACGAAAAGGGCTCTATGCAGAACTAGTGTTAACATGTGTGGCCACTGATGAAACATCCTGTCATCTGACTGAGGTCTGAATGGATTAATTTCCCGGAGTCATGGCAGATGCAGAAAACCAAATAAAACACCAATGTCTAGCATCTCTGTGAGTCACAATCCTATCTGTGTATGTAACAGAAGGGATATTGGTGTATTCCCTTCATCTCAATCTGCTGTGTCCATAAAGTACTCAAATTTCCTCCAAATCTATCAAGAGAACCACAGAAATGACTTGCTAGGTGGTATCTAATATTTATGTACTTATTTAAAGTGTACATGTAAGACATTTTTACATTGCTGCTAAGCAGAACTTTCCCTTTTTAGAAGAGACCACAAGACCTTATTAGCCAGAAGATCCTGCTTTGTTACAACCCACCTTTAGAGCATTTCCCTGCAAACCGGCATTCTGCAATCCAATAAGGAGCATGTTCATTGGGTAGGAGAATGGCAGACAGCAAAGTCTAGCTCTGAAGTCCTATACCAAGGTAAAGCTAACACAAGTGAGAAGCGCAGAGGAGTTTTCCATGGCATCTGTTCTAGGCAAGAACCTTTCATTTTAAATGTTTAAAAAGGCTTACTTGATTGTATTCTGTACTTGCACAGACTTACTTGACATTCAGCAAACATTTTTACAATCTACACATCCACATCGAATTCCAAAAAAGATTTCTAATCAGACAACTGCTGGTATATAGGGTGATTGAGGGATTTGCTGGTAAGAGTAATCAGTTAAAATGTGGCAATAGTGGCAGCTGCCATTAACTTAAAAAACACATATTAACACATTATATTACTCCTTGAAAAAGGCAACTCTTACCTTCAGAATCTAAAAAATATTCTGTAGTGAAAGAATTCCAGTGTTTCTTGGTTTTTAGGCAATCAGAATCAAAATCTTGACTTATGACATGTAAATGAATATGGCTAGGATGAAGAAAAATAAACTATTACTTGCATATTCAAGAAAAAATTACATAATATTTCAGGTTACTTGCACAAAAATACAAAATATCTTACCTCATGCTTGGAATAACATGGTACCCAAGCCTAAACTTTGCTCTACTCAGAGATGAATGTTCCTGTATAACATTCTCGCCAACTTCATACATGTGCTGTAACAACTCCAAATGTTCTGATCTAAGTGCTTTTAGACTGGAGATGGATTGCCATGGTAAAACCAGCCAGTGGTAGCGTGCCTTGGGGTACTTGTCTTTGATTACTACTACTTTATCATCTTTGAAGACCTTTATCAAAACAAGAAGAATATTCAAGCTTACTCAAACAAGGTGGTTTTTCACAACATAAAGCTCTTTTGTTCTAATTACAAAATGCACCTTTTAATTATGTAAAGTGATTTTAGATTTCAAAATAACACCCTTAAAAAAAGGATCCAGCTTTGGGCAATGTGAAAGGATCTATGTAGTGTACATCAACAGAGAAAAAAATACCCTCATTTCCAGTCAGCTCTGAACTCTGGAGAATTTTAAATGTCACCTCTAACCAAAACATTTTTCTGATAAGAGTAGGGATTGCTGTGGCATGCTCATTTCAGTATGAAACAATGAGTGGTGACTGACTAAAAACTGAGCTGTCAAGCAGCTCTGTGGGCATTATTGCTTCTCCAGTTTTTGGGTCAATTGCTATCTTTATTGTGTGGCATAATGTACTGTATACTGTGACATGTCATATACCAATCTATGAAAAAGCACTTCATTAAATGTCTCCCTAAATAATAAAACAAAGCACAAAACAAATCCTCATGTTTTTTTCTCTGGTGTCATACATTGCTTTAAGTTTCTCTTTAATATATACCTGCATTTTGGGATCGTGCATAGAAACCTTTAGCCCTTGGCTCCAGTGTCCTGCTCCAGACTACACAGAGAAAAAAAAGGTATAGAAAAGGTAAAGAAAGCACGCAAGGCAAAGTAAATTACAATAATTGTACCAGGGTAACCACAGCCTGAACAAAAGGACATGTTCTGCCAATAAGTACCTGAGAAGCACGTTGTTGCTTAGCTGCAGTATCATCGGTGCTCTTGTTAACATCCAGCACTTCATTAGATTGCATTTTTGAGCACATTGTTTCTATGCTCTTATTTTGAGAATTCTCATATGGTCTCTTGCTGGTGTATTTCTTCTGTTGGTCTCTGGAATCAGCCTGGCCTGGTTCTTTTACAAATTCTACAGTGTAAGGATACAGCTTATTTACTACATATAAGACATGGCCAGGCTTCAGCTTTACTTCTTGATCTTTCCTAATGTCCACGTTGTCAATACAAGTTGGGTTAGTTCCTATCTAAAAACAAAAAACAACCTGAAATAAGTTACATGAATCAGGAATTCACCTTATTAAAACAGAGCTTGACAAATTTGCTTTGCAGCTAGAGGCCAGCTAGTAAACTTAGGAGCCAGTTTTTTTTTTTTTTTTTTAGCTTAGAGTCGGTTGTCAGTGGCCGGGCATCACACGATGTAATGCCACATGGCAAAACTGCATCATATTTTAGGCACCATTGAAAATAATGGCACCTGCGTTTTGCGATCACATCCATTCTGCAGTGATCCCAAAATGTCCAGGTGTGAATGGAGCCTCCCTGGTTCACACATATGCGATTTTGGTTTAATTTTCAAACTCACAGATTTGTATGACAGCCTATATATTATGTGTTGCTATTGAGGTGGCTCACACAGATGCAATGCACATGCATTGTGTTTTGAGCGCCATTTTGAAAAGGGTCCTGGTGCGAGTTTGTAGTAGTATGTTCCAGACTCACAAGTGACAGAGTGGCATGTGGAGATAAGTGTTCATAAGTAGGGTTGTTATTGACAGGAGTTTTTATATTGAAGTATATGTGAGGCAGTGTGTGAACCCAGGCACCAGGACGCAATTTCTAGTCGCTATGGTGCCTGGGATTTGTCATGACCTGTTTTAAAAGGTTGTGATTAGCATATAGAGGCAGTGCCAGATTTGCATTTCTGTAATGTCATCATCACTCCTTTCATCCATAACACCAGAAGGCACACTATTATAAATATTCTACTACCTAACATCTGTGTCAGTAGCTACTGGAATGAAAACCTACAAAATTGCAGACCGACAAGCTCCCAATATAATACAATGTCACAGTAAGGGCTTGTGTCACTCTAGTGTGGTAACTGGAGTTTTCAGTGTGCCCCATTAACACTGAAACACAGCTGAAATCTGTGGTGCAATGAGCTGTAATAAAAATGTAGACATGCTACATTTTATCACAAGACACCGGATGGCACTGCATGTCACTGTACAGCAGCGCAACACCACTGCTTGTGGTGCCATGAATGTCACTTTGTGCATTTCAAATAAAGCTGCCAAAAAAAAAAATGTTCCAGTTTAGTGTGCAGGCAATGTGAATGAGCCCTAAAGCTTTCTGATTTTTAGAAAACAAAAAAGACAGAATCCAACACTAAAGACAGACAAAACATGAGAAAGCTTTTCTTGAACAAACACATTTCTATCAGTGAAAGAGGTTTTCTTTTGGGCAAGTCTGTTTGTTCCAAAATCGAATGTTAAAAGCAAAAGTTTTTTTGAAGTACATTCTAACCACATTCGTCAAGCCACCATATCTACGGATGAGAATTTCTGCATACCATAACAGTTGTGTTACTGTCCTTATTCTGCAGTGTAGCAGATGTGTTATTCACAATTTTGGCTGTACAGAATTATAAAATCTTGAGCAAGCAAAACAATAAAGATGTAAAAAGGGCTGCTTTAACAGCCAGTCACTAATGGTTGGGAGGTCTGAATTAGGTTCCCCCTACAATGACTCCTCCTAGTGAAAGTATACTCTACATGCAAAAAAAAACAGTTTGAAAAACCATACACTGTATCTGTGTAAACAGTGATCAGACCCCCACAAAAAGTGTCCATTCTGAAAGAATGATCTTCTCTGGATAGATGCAATGTTCATTCAAGAAGAAAGGTCATTTTTATCCTATGGAAAAAGGAGGACATGTCCATGTAACCTCTACGGTGCCAAACAACATTCCCTAAAGGACAGGAAACAGAGAAAGGTCACCATACCTCATCACCAAAGATTTTCCTTTACTTTGGGGTTTGCTGTCAAGGAGATTACAAGCCCAGCAACTGGTAGGTGTAGTCGCCTAGTATCTTAATTTGCGAGATAGAACACATGATGAGGCTTAATGGGACCTCAACAACCTTTCTACCAAAGCTAACATCTCAATTATTCAATTGCTGATGTCTATACATCTGCTCTGCAAAAACTTTCTTTGCCCATAAAAATCATATCTGCTCTGACTGAACCAACCTTAAGTCTAATAGAGTTGCCAGGACACAGAAAAGCCATGCAAATAGGTTGCTTAGAGGACATCTAAAACTCAAAAACAAAAAAAAATGACCATATTGCAAAATACCAGTTCTTACATATGGAGACTGCATTAGTTTTTTTTTCTTTATTATCACCTGGAAATCCTGTGACTAAAAATTTCTGTCCCTGGGTGGCAAGCTTCACCTTTAACATCATCTGCTCTTGTCCATCCCAATTAGATGAGGGATGGAGAGATGAGTAGTTTACCAAACACCGCAGCTAGGTACAGTTTTCTTGCAAGTGCACTAATACGACTACAGTTCTGCTCACAGGAACTCGCAAGCATAAAGCATCACAGGTAAAATCCACTGGTATTTTTTGTATATGTTGAAAACTTAGTTGGCCTAAAAAGAGAAAACTAGTGCAGCGATCACATCTATGGACTGGTAGGTTGCAATATAATTTTTATTCTTGGGTTTAGGTATTCTTTAAAGTGGACTTTGCAGTACAATGCAAGTTCCAAATATAATGTACAGTCCCCCTCCCCCTGTAAGTTCCATAGCTTGGAGTACAGTTCAGGATGCAAGCACAATAGTCATAGACTCTTGGTTGTAGGCTCGTACCTTCATGTGAGTGGACACTGGCAAGCTTTTGGAGGCCATGCCCCCTAGTAACCTCCCCTATACTGTACTCCAATATATAGAATTCACAGGTAAGTTCAAGTCTTCTGCTGTGGAAACAAAACCTTCTCTCCTTTGACATCTGCTTGGAGAGGCACTTGATCAATTCATAACAGAAGTCTTCCTTGGAAAGGCAACTTCAACTGACCAGGTTTAAGCCACAAGACTGCATGTGGATGAAGATTAGGGCCATTAGGGAAATTTGTCTCATGACGTTCTAGAGCATCCACACAAAAATGCACAGCAGATGATAATTACTGTAATGGCTCTGTTAAAGCACGATTCTGAAAAACAGGGTCATGCTGGTTTGTTTTTGCCCTAGTTCAGTTAGCTGCAGTTTGACATACTGAAATTAGAGCAACAGCTTGTTGCAGGGCTGGGCCTGCCAAAGTAACGAGAGTGTCTCAAAATTTCTATCTGCAGAATCTTTGAATGAAAGAACATCTTCAATAGGTACAGTGAGAGGTCTGTTTACGACTGAGACAGCAGGATCAATTAGAGGAATAGACCACTGTTTGGCAAACTCTGTCCAGTGGAAAAACAGTTCACTTAAGTGGGGAGTGAAAATCCTGTCTGGAGTGATCCAATCTCCTTATTGCACATTGTATCTGTTCATGAACAGGGCATATTTTTTTTTTTTGAGCGAGATTTTGCAGGTCTTTTTGTACTCAAATTGGCATGGCGAGAGAATAGAATCAAACTACACAATGCCAAGGCTTTTGCAGATGGCAGCAGTGAGCTTTCCCATGTTATCACTCCCTCTCCAATATAGTAGCAATCTGGGTAAGAAACATTTTTCACAGACCACCAAAAACTCATGCTTCTTCCCATCTGATTTTTATCACCGCCTACTGGATGTATGAGACTTGTCTCCACTACTCTTGCGATACTCCTCCCAACTTCTTACCCCATCTTTTCTCTATTTCTTTTCTCTCACAGTCTATTTTCCAAAGTTCCATGTTAAAAATATGAAAGAGCCTCTGTATTATATATTGTTCTCTTATCAGACTATTGGAACATCTTGAATTGTCTACAGGACAGCTATTTTATTATGTTGGCCTGCAAAGCCACATCTGTAAACATTATGTCTCTTAGCAGCTCTGTATTTGGTGTCATTAATACAATGAAAACTACTGAACGGAAAAATCTTTTACAGCTTCCTCCAATACTACCTCAATATACTCTTCATTCCCTTCTGTATCTGGTTCATCTAGGGCAGGCATAATGGGATCGGACTTGTTATTGTTCCATGGAATTGTGACATAGATGCAGAAAAGTTTGCTTTTGTCAAGTAGGCCACTTATTGCGTGCCTGAAATATAGCTAGAATTGGATGCAGACCACCGCTAGAGTCAGCTCCTGCTTTGGTGCAAAGGGTATATCTTCACTCTGAGACGAAGTGTTGTACAGGCCTTTGGCAGAGTGAATGTTAGCCTGTGGTTTTGCATGACTCCCTTTTGGTTTCCACCATAGCCAAGTTTGAGGGTTTTCCCCTGTGGGGTAACCACAGAGTAGGGTGCAGAATATAGGGTAAGCGTGTCCAAAAGGAGAATACAGCAACCCAAGTGTAAACCATCCTGTTGTGAATCCTTGTGGTGAAAGGGTGGGAAGAAGCACTTGAGTACCATATAAGGACTCTAGGATGTAGTGGAGGTAATAGGTCTGTGACCTGTGATGTCATACCTGGTCATCACCCTGAGACTAAGCTTTGAGTGGTTCAGTTTAATTGGTTGTAAACCCCAAAAAAATCAAAATTAAACTGAACATTGCATCTAACTCAGAAGTGCAGCAGAACTCTACTGTCCTCAGTTTGGCCAGGAAAAGGAGCATCCTGTCATCTGCAATCCTCTCCGCTCTTCAACAGTAAAAAAGGTGTTGCCACCCCCCTCCTTTGAATGAGACTTAAATCAGGTGTGTCTCACAGCCACAGCTTGGAGCCCACACTGTCACTTGCTCTCAGCTTTTCTCTCCTCTGGACCTGCAGCACTACCATTCAAAAGACTTGCTGGGCATTGAAAGTGACCATCCAATGTGCGCATTGCTAAACTGCGCTAGGTAGAATGCCGGGGTGTGTACAGCTGAGAGGGGAGTCTAGTGACATTATGACTTCGCCCACAGACCGGGAGATATTCAGCGGACTGAAACAGGCAAAGACATGAAAAAACTGAAGAACAAATAATGCACTTGTCATGTTCATTCTACAAACTGAAAGGAGATGTGAGTGTTTGATATTGGTAGACATTGGGTTTATAACCACTTTAAGCGCCAAAATTCAAAAAGTTTACATTGTAGTGAATACAATTAAAATAGTAA